GACGGTGGCGTGTCTCTTTGGGCACCTTGACAGCTTGACCTAGGTTGCGGTGGAAGAGGTTTAATTTTCTCTGCCGTGTGATAGTCCTTTCTTTGAGCCCACACCACCTTATCCATCACGGAGTGGAGAGACATGTAGGTTATAGCTAGCTTTTCTCTGCTGTGAGTAACGCTCTTACCGTATGTGCGTTCGGATGCTTGTCAGTGTGTCTCTCCAGGGTAGAATACCTAGGGGTGCAATTGTAGGGGCATTAGAAAGATGCTAAATTGCTTTTCAGAGTTGTCAAATTATACCGCCGAGGAGTTATTTAGTGGGTGTGTAAATATTGCCAAGTGGTTTAGTGTGTGTCTGCCTCGTTACTGCTTGGAGGAGTAACTTGCGTGTTTCTCGGCTTTTTGTGACTTCTCTGTTCAAACCTGCTGTTTTCCCGATTGTTGGTCTCTTCCTTCCCAGGAGAGGGGCCCGAGGGAGGAGGAGAGGTCGTCTTTCATGCATGGTGTGGATGTCCCCCGCGCAGGCTTTCTTGGAGAAGTTTTAGGTCTTGGACGGCTTTGGCTTCGCCTCTAGCTGTAGGAAGTGGAGGCCGCCACCTCCGCTGCGTCCGCTCGGCAGAGCTCGCTCCTGCACCTGGACCCTCATCCCGGCGGAAGTGACGGCGGTGTGGGACTGGGCAGGCTTTGCCCCTGGCCCAGCCCTGCTGACTGGAACGGATGTGCACACATCTCTTCTTGCAAGCCCGGACAGGTGTTGTTTGGGCAGCTAACAGGCAGGGCATAGCACCCACGGGGTGGCCTTCAGAACCAGCTCTTGGCCCTTTGCACCTCTGTGTGTGTTTTATATTCCCTTCTCAGGTTGCATGTACCCTGCTGGGACTCCAAGATACTTACGAATGTATGGTGGCATCTGTATCATTTGGACTCCTGTGGCTGTGGATATGGGCCTGTCTTTAGAGATCCTTCATAGTTCTATGATTTTCTCTGTAGAGGCTTCCATCTTCTATTGCTCTCATGTTTTTTCATGCTGTTGTAAAGAGTGCCTATTGAAACTATTTCCTATTTTTTTTTTTTAATTGATATGTTGAACTGTAGTTGGCTTTCAGGCACTGAGTTTCCATAGCTGAGGTTTTGGGGTTTTTTTTTTTTTTTGCTTTTTTTAATGTATTTAGTGCAGGGTCTCCAGGGTCTCACTATACAAATTGGACTTGTAGTGATGAGCCTCCTGTTTTCAGCTTCCCAAGCACTGGGATAACAGGTATGGTGCCTAGTCTCAGTTGCCATCTCAGGGAGCCTTGAGGGCGGGGCGGGGCTGACCTGGGAGATGGTGGATTTAACTGCCAGCCCCAGCATCAGCTTAAGCAGGTGCTTTAATCTGCTGAGCTACCTAACCAGCCCAACATACCTGAGTTTTGCTGGAGTCTTGCTGGTTGCAGTTTTTATGTAGAATCATCTTAATCTTTCCTTATAATTAGTAGTTTCTTTTTCTTGTCCTACACAAGGGCCCTTTGTACCTCAATCTTCTATGTGATCACTGAGAGAAGTGTCTTCTATTAGGAGATTTTTTAAAAATTCTATTTGTTATAATGAGGATTTCTTTTTCTTTTTTCCCCTCACATGGGGTCTTGGTACAGTGCCTAAGTTGATCACAAACTCAGCCTCCTGAGTTTGGAAATATAGGCATGCACCACAATATCTAGCTTGAGAGTGTTTTTAAAACGGATTTGTTGGGTTTTGGGTTTTTTTTTTTTGGCAGAACAGGGGATTGAACTCAGGCCCTTGCACTTGCCAGGCAAGCACTGATTCTACTGAGCCATCCCCCTGGCCCCCTAAATCAGATTTGTTGAGATGCATTTCATGCATACTTGGTTCAGCTTGGAAAATGTACAACTGAGAGATCTTTAGGTATTATATATAGAATTTTTGTCTTTTTTTTTTGGAACTGGGGATTGAACTCAGATCCTTGTGCTTGCCAGGGAAGCATTTACTCTACTGAGCCATCTCCCCGACCCCAAGAATTGATTGCCTTGATCCGTTTTGAAACATTGGAGCACCCCATTCCAGACTCTGCAGTCCCTCAGCTCCCCTCCTCCTCAGTCCTGGGCAGCCACTCCTCTACCCTGGACTACTCACTCTGTGTATTTCCTATAATCGTAACATAGAATGTCGCCTTTGCACTTGCTGTCTTTCCTATAACGCGCTGCCTCAGGGCTCGTCCCCTCCATAGCCGGACAGCCGGTGTCAGCGTAGTGTCCTTTCCCTGCTGCTTGGTTTTGTGGGGACAGACCATGTAGCTGTGCAGGCAGCAGCTGGTGAACATGTAGGTTGTCTCCAAATCTGGTGTGAGGAATAGTGCTGCTGTGAACGTTCGTGTGCAGGCAGGCTAGTGTTCTTGGTACACACCAGAGGTGTGTGCAGGGGACAGGAGCTGTACTGTGTTTGCAGATTTTGGTATTGACACTGTTGTCCTACCGTTGTAAAAGTGTAAAAGTGCAGCCTGTGTTTTGCTCTTCTGTGAAAATTGTGCTTACCAAGAGAATTATTTCTTCATAAATGCTAGGACTTGGTAGTAAGAACCTACTGCCTGGGTCTCTTTGTGGGAAGGCCTCTGAGCGTTGGCACAGTGCCTGCGGGTGTGGGCTTGAGTTTATGGGTTTGATTCCTGTTAGCAAAAAAAAAAAAAGTTGCTATTTTGGCTTTATATTCTTAAGTTTTGGCTTTATGCTTTGGCTTTAACCTTAGCACACAGGTCTTGGTGTTCGTTCCCCTTTCTGTGTTCTCTGTTCTTGATTCTTCTCACCAGATGTTGGCAATTTTGTAAGACTTTACACTCTTTTCTTTAACTTGAACTTTGTTGATGTTCTTTGTTTCCTTTGCTGTTACATATTTTTTTCATTTTCCTCAGCTGTTAGATGGATGCAAACCTCATTTTTAAGCCTTCTCCTTTTCCCCGTGGTACTGGGGATCAGCCCCAGCCATTGCACATGTGAGGCAGGTGCGAAGTCGTGCAGTCTGAGAGGTGGGGTTTCGTAATACTTCGGTCAGGTTTGAACTTGTGATCCATCTCCCTCAGCTTCCCAGGTTACGGGCTGGGGCTATAGCTATGTGCCACTACACCCAGCTCATCCTTAATTTTCCCTGTGAGGCCACGGATGTTCTTCATTACAGTTTTAGCTGCATCCTGGAAGTTCAATACATGGGATCAAGTTCCATTATTTCCATTTATTTATTTATTTATTTATTTATTTTTGGTACAATATCTCATGACATAGCTCAGACTCACAATGATCCTCCTGTTTCAGCCTCCCCACTGCTGGGATTATAGGCATGCACCACCATGCCCAGTTTTGGTGGCCAGCTCGGTGCGGGGCTGGCACGGCATGTGGTACTGGGGATCAGACCCAGGTCCTTGCGCTTGCCAGGCAGGTGCTTAGACCACCAGCCTATCTCCCTGACCCAAGCTCCATTATTTTCTAATTCCCATGATACTTTTACTGACTTCTGGATGATTTAGAAGTATTTCTTAATTCCCACACAAAGAGAACAGGCTTTAGTTTTGTTTTAGCAATTTCTACCTCTAGTGAGCTCTTATCAGAGAATGTAGGCTAAATTATTTCATGTGCTTAGAATTTAGGATGTGTATAGTGGAAAATACATGGCTGGTTTCTGCAGAAGCGAGAGCGGGCTTGGTGGGACCATGCCCCCCGTATGGGGAGCAGGCTCAGGCACACCTACTCGCCTTTCCTCAGTGCTGTGGTCACGACTGGCTCCTCAGTTCTTTTTTTAAATTTTATTTGTGTGTGTGTGTGTGTGTGTGTGTGTGTGTGGCCAGCTCAGCCCACCAGGGGGCGGGGCAGGCTGGCATGTGGTGCTGGGGATTGAACCGCGGTCCCTGTGCTTTGCTAAGCTTGCTCTAAGTAGGTGCTCCAGACCACTGAGCCATCTCACCAGCCCATTGTCTGTTCCTTTTATTGACCTGCTACTTCGTACATTTTGAGGTTGATACGAGGTGCCTGCAGGTTTACAGTTAGAGCTTGTCTCAGTTACTCTTCTCTCATTGCTGGGACGAATACCTGACACCCAAAACGAAGGAAGGAAAGGTTTATTTAGCTCACAGTTACTGGAGGTTTCAGTCCCTACTCGGCTGGCTCCGAGGCACCCAGGGCACAGGGCAGAGAGCAGCACCTCAGGGCGGCGGAGCAGCAGCAGCAGTAGCAGCAACAACAAGGAGCAATGGCTGCAGAAAGTCTGTCTGCCTCTTGCATTACATTCAGGCGCTCTGCCCCAGGCTAGGGGAAGTACTCACACCCAGCAGTACTAAGACTCATAATCCCAGCCTTGGATCACACATAATCCCAGCGGATCATGAGTTAATCACAACCTCTAGAAGTCCCCACCCCATGACTGCATGAGGCTTTGGGGGACAGCTGGACACAAACCATAGCAGGGCTGCTTGGTGGATGGACCCATGTGTCTTCCCGGACAGATCTCTGTATGCGGCCAGGCCCTGTGCTCATGTCGGCTTCTGGCTCACACGCTCCTCCAGCAGCACGTTTGTGCACACTTGGGCCCACATGCCCAACAGGTGACAGAATTAGCACAGCGTGCTGCAGCCTTTCTGTGGCTTGTGGGTGTGGTGCAGGGTCATTTGTTTGGGGATGGCTTTTCTGGCCCTGGAGACTGAGCTCAGAGCCTCATTGCCCATCGCTGAGCTGACCTCTACCCCAGGATGGTTCGTTCGTTCGTTCTTTCTTTCCTTTTCTTTTTTATTTTGGCGGAACCAGGGATTGAACTCAGGCCCCTGCGCTTGCCAGGCAAGTGCTTATTCCACTGAGCCATCTCCCCGGCCCCAAAAGATCTCTTTTACGGTTCTTTTTAAAAGATCCTGTCTATGCACACAGCAGTTCTTAGCCAGAGCCCCCAAAGAGCCAGAGAGAGTGGTGGTGTTGCGTTTCAGTCTCGGTGTGAGCACGCTCAGTGGGCAGGATCTGGCCCCAATCTGGTTGCCCCACCTGCCTCTCTGTCTGGTGGGCGTGAGTTGTGGCCTGCTGTGCTGCCACGCCCGCAAGGGATCCTGGGACCTGGAGGGAACCTGGGGAGGCCAGCTGGGCAGGGAACTGAGTAGGGGTGCAGAGTGGGCCCTGCAGTGTTCACTGGCTCCCCGCTCACAGATGAAGGGTGCCCTCCTGGAGATCATCCAGCTAGCCTCCCTGGACTCGGACCCCTGGGTCCTCATGGTTGCCGACATCCTGAAGTCCTTTCCTGACACGGGATCACTCAACCTTGACCTCGAAGAGCAGAACCCCAACGTTCAAGATATTTTGGGAGAGCTTAGAGAGAAGGGTACGTATCCACTGGCTGGTCGTGAGGGCACTCTCTCCTGAGGTCCCCCACCCCCGGCTGGGACTGCTCTAGAGTGGGCCTCAAACCTTGTGATGCCCGCAGGCTGCTGCCAACAGTGGCAGATGGTTCTGAAGAACATGTGGGGCACTGGTGCCCTTTCAGGGAGTATCCCCTAATTGGAGAAGAGGCCTGCCACCCCTGGGAGCAGCGCCTGGGCTGGGCGGGACTGCCTCCTGTCCTACTGTCCTACGTCTGGCGAGTTTTTGCTGCAGGCAGCGGTGTCACAGTAGGAACCTTGTCACCTCCTGGGGGGTGGGGGATGTTACTAAGCTCCCGTCCTCTATGACCACATGTCCCTGGGAAGCTAGTGCAAGCAGTCTTGTCCCCAGAGGACACCCTGGTGCTGCCCCAGGGTGACAGGGCAGAGCCTCAGGGCCCTCGGTGGACTAGGGCACCCCTGACTCTGGTCCCTGCAGTGGGTGAGTGTGAGGCGTCCGCCATGCTGCCCCTGGAGTGCCAGTACCTGAACAAGAATGCCCTGACCACACTGGCCGGCCCACTCACGCCACCTGTGAAGCACTTCCAGCTGAAGCGCAAGCCCAAGAGTGCCACGCTGCGTGCCGAGCTGCTGCAGAAGTGTGAGTGTGGCCACACGCCGCGCTGCTGTCCTCGGGGCTTGTCTGTCTTTCCAGATTGAAGACTTTTAAATGACCTAGGCTAGCTTTTCAGAGACAGTGTGCCACCTCCTTCGGGGGCTGAGGCAGACATGTCATTTGAGCCCAGGAGTTTGAGGCCAGCCTGGGCAGGGTAGTGAAACCCCATCTCAAAAGCAGATGTAGATTTTAATAGCTGTTTTATTTTGAGTGGTCACAGAATGGACTTCCATGGCATACGCATGTGCCCTGTGGTCAGGAGTCAGCGTCAGCCTCACGGCAGCTGGCTGCGGCTGTGGTTGGAAGAGGCATTGTTGGGGCTGGCACTGTTCTGGGGCACTATGGAGCCCCCATCTGGGCCCTGGCCTGTCCTCACACCGCGTGGCAGTTTCTATCTCAAGTTTGTGCATCTGTGAGGGGAAACCCAGGCAGCACACTGGAGGGAGCCTTCAGGTGCCCACCCACTGGAGCTTCCTAGACTGTGGGGGCCTCTGAGCACCTGGGGGTACGGTCATGCTGACACTTGCAATCCCTCCTCATTCCCCCCAGCCACGGAGACAGCACAGCAACTGAAGAGGAGCACAGGGGTGCCGTTCCACGCCAAGGGCCGCGGGCTGCTCCGCAAGATGGATACCACAAGTGAGGCCATGGACCAGGCTCCAGCCTTTGTGGCGTACTTGGGGGTGGGCACGAGCTTAGCCAGGTTTTTTATGAAGGTCAGTGCGAGGAAAGGGGGTCCCTAGGCCAGACGCAGGATCCGAAGACTTGCCATGCGTGGGGGCCAGAGCCTGCTGCCCTTGATCCCATGCTGTGCCCCACAGCCTTGCCTGGACTGTGTCCCTTGTGCCCAAGAAGGCCCCCTGGCAGGGCTGCACCCATCTTTCATTAGCATGGGCAGAGGCCTGAGCCAGCATGGGGAAAGCCCTGGCCTCAAGCTAATCACACAAGCTGAAGGTGGGACATGACACAGGGCAAGACCCACCTCTGCGAACCACCCACCCTCACTGGGTGCCCTCTCTACAGCCCCACTCAAAGGCATCCCGAAGCAGGCGCCCTTCCGGAGCCCCACCACTCCCAGCGTCTTCAGCCCTGCCGGGAACCGGACCCCGATCCCGCCATCCAGGACCCCCTTGCAGAAGGAAAGGGGTGTGAAGGTGGGCCCGCCCCCTCGCTGCCCACCTCTTAGGCCCTCGCCTGTGTGCGACCCTAAGTGTGGCTGTGTTGTTGCAGCTCCTCGACATCTCCGAGTTGGGTGTTGTGGGTGCCGGCCGTGAGGCCAAGCGGCGCAGGAAGACACTCGGTGTGTGGGCGAGCCGCGAGGTGGGGGCAGGGTGGGCAGCCAGGCTGGCTCCTCTCCTGGACCAGCAGACCCAGCCTCCTTGCCAGAGCCTGTGGCACCATGCTCTCAGCCTGGCAACCCCCTTCCCACGGTCCTGATGAGGGTGTCTATCTGTGCAGACGCAGAAGTGGTAGAGAAGCCGGCCAAGGAAGAGACAGTCGTGGAGAACGCTACCCCAGACTATGCAGCTGGCTTGGTGTCCACACAGGTAGGGACAGTAAGGTGCTGCCGCCACTGCCACCTCAGCCTGTGCCCCTGGCTATGGCACAGCAGAGCCCATGCCCTCCTGTTACAACTTGGATTCCTAGGACCGCGGCATTGTGGAGTATATATGTGTATATGTATATGTATGTACATATGTGTGCGCTCGTATGTATGTATGTATGTATATGTATGTATATGTATATGAGAGGCGGCATGGCTGAGGCCCTGGCACAGGTCAGGCTGAGGTTGGGGGTACCTGCCACACGTGCTAGGGGATGCCCGGTGGATGAGGGGATCCCGAATATCCAGAGGTGGCTGTTACTACTGTGGATGCTTGCCTTCCTGCACCGTTACCTAGCGTGTGTACGACTGCTTAGTGGTCATGGGAAGGAAGGCAGTGTGGCCCCTCACCTCCCCAGCAGTGGCTCGGGAGCCTCTCCTTGAAGGACTCCAGGTGCCGGGGATGGGGCTGCGCTCTGGCTGTCACTGCACGGCAGGTGGCCCAGGTTGGAGGGGGTGCGCTGAACCCTGGGGGTCTTCCGGGCGACTGTGGCCTCTTGCCTTCCAGAAACTCGGGTCTCTGAGCAGCGAGCCCACACTTCCATCCACCAGCTACCTGCCTTCTACACCCAGTGTGGTACCTGCGTCCTCTTATGTCCCCAGCTCTGAGACTCCCCCAGGTAAGGGGGCTTGGACGACCTCCCTAACACCCTCCTCAGTGCCTGCTGCCCAACACCAATATGTTTCCCCCCAGTGGGACCTTGCCCAGCGGGTAGCTTCAGGTCCAAAGTCTTGTCGTCTTGGCATCGGAATTTTGTCCCCTATCAGTGTCGCTAGCTGGTCCTTGGGTTCTGGAGAAGCTGACCATGGGCGGGGCCTGCTCTGATAGCTAGGTGTCACTGGGCAGAAAGCCCTGGAGATGCTGCTGCCCTCCCCCTCATTACCAGTGCCCTGTCAGGAGCGGAGTAGGTGCTGGAGGTCTGACCTATGGGCTGGAGCCTCCTTTGGACAAGGGAGTGTCCAGGGTGCAGGGTGGGGGGACCTGGACTGGCATGAGCACAGATACCCCCTGTCTGCGGCAGCTCCATCATCCCGAGAAGCCAGCCTGCAGGGCAGCCGGCCACCTGAGGAGCCCAGTACTCCGAGCCCCACGTTGCCTACACAGTTCAAGCAGAGGGCTCCCATGTACAACAGCAGCCTGGGTCCTGCTGCACCGGCACCTGCGGCGCCCACCTCACCCCTGACGCCCACCACACCCCCAGCCGTGGCCCCTGCTGCACAGACGCCTCCTGTGGCCATGGTGGCCCCCCAGACCCAGCCCCCTGCCCAGCCCCAGCCTAAGAAGAACCTGTCCCTCACAGTAAGTGTCCTGTGGGCCCCCTGCAGGGTGCAGGGCCGTACCTGTTTCTGGCCAGGGTACCCACACCTTCCCCTTGTCCACAGCGAGAGCAGATGTTCGCTGCGCAGGAGATGTTCAAGACAGCCAACAAGGTCACACGGCCCGAGAAGGCCCTCATCCTGGGCTTCATGGCGGGCTCCAGAGGTGTGGCCCGAGGCTGGCCTGGAGGGTCTTGGGGGTGTCCTTGGCCCCCCACACACTCTGCCCAACCCTCCCTATTCCTACAGAGAACCCATGCCAGGAGCAGGGGGACGTGATCCAGATCAAGCTCAGCGAGCACACAGAGGACCTGCCCAAGGCTGACGGCCAGGGCAGCACCACCATGCTGGTGGACACGGTGTTCGAGATGAACTACGCCACAGGCCAGTGGACACGCTTCAAGAAGTACAAGCCCATGACAAACGTGTCCTGAGGGCTGCCAGCTCTGGCCTATTTAAAACTTAGTTCATTTCTTGGGGTGTTTGGAGCTTATTTTTTATATTTTACCGTGGGTTACTTTTTGTGTGATCAAGATACTTTTTTGGATTCAATATTAACATTTTTGAATGTTAAAGTTAACCAAAAATGTAACTTCCTAATTCTAGTGCCTGTTAGATTTTTACCTTTCTAATTTTTTTTCTTAAGGAAATTCCACTGAGGGCAAGGGTTTCTTGCTGCTGTGCCGCCCTCATGAGGGTGGGAGGGGACCAGAGGGGGTGCCTGGCACTGGCAGATGGCCCTGACAGTGTTCAAGCCAGAGCTGCTGGGCCTGGCACCCCACCAGTGCCTGTTGGTTTTGTATCTGTCTTTTGTACCGTGTGGACATTTGAGCCTCCCTTCTAGGGACCTGCTCTTGGGTAAGACTGTGTGTGATTAAAGCTGAACTTTTCTACAGGAAACTGCAGGGTTGTGTGTTTAGGCCAGGTGACTGAGGTGTGTGGGCTGCCTGTTCCCAGGCAGCTGTGAGAATCCAGGGGGACAAGCCCTGGTGAGAAAACGCAGAGTCTGGTAGCTCCTAGGTCATCTGCCACAGGACTAGGACACAGCCCCCCACCACATGCCACCTTTAGTGGAAACCTGGGAATTGAACTGAGAGCATCTACAGCCCTTGCATTTTCATCTAAGACATGGTGTACTTGCCCAGGCTGGCCTCAAACTTGAGATTCTCCTGCCTTAGCCTTCCAAGTATTTGGGATTATTACAGACATGTGCCACCACCCCTGGCCACACCTGGGGATTGAACTCAGGCCCTTGTGCTTACCAGGGAAGCGCTTATTCCACTGAGCCATCTCCCTGGCCCCTACCATTTTTTAGGAGAAAAAAGCATATTCCAAAAACTAGAACCCACTGTATTTATTGCATCAGCTACACTTCCCAGGCAGGGCCGTGGGAAGAAGATGTGAGGACCCCACCGCTGAGCTGGCCCGGCCATGTAGAGCTTTCAGAAAGGAGAATCGGCACAAGCCTGTAGGAAGTGAGTCTAAGAAAAAAGGCCTTTAAAATGCTTTTAATAAAAAAATACTCATACACAATTTTCCAAACACAAATTTCCACTTTAAATGCTATTTCCCCAGCTGGCAATTCTCGAATCTCTATTTCAGTATACCCCCCTCCCCCAAAAAGGTGAATTTCAAGTTTTAAAATCTAACTATGAAACCTGGTGATAGCACCCAGTGTTCCTAGAAGGAACCGACCTCACACGGAATGGAGACACAGGAGGCACATGAGACGTGCTGGGTTTCGGACAAGGCACGGTGACACCGCGACACCCTGCAGGCGCGGCGTGTCACTCCTGACAGTCACCAGTACGCTGCTCAGAGCCCAAGATGCTGGTAACTGGCAGTTGTTCGCAGTATGTGTAATTCCTAAAAATCAGGTAGTTCTGACAGGCGAGCACTGCACATCAGCATGGTTCAGATGTCAAGGCCAACATTTGATGGCATTAAAATGCCAGCCTGCGTGGGCCTGAGGCCTGTGGACCATGGGTGGCAGCACAAGCAGAAAGGGACAGCTGGCCCCCTCCACCCTCAAAGGCCTTCCCCACTGAGACCACAGCGCAGCCATCTGGTGGAGGCCCAGGCAGCAGTGGCGGCGGCAAGGGCAGGTGACTCAGCTCATGGTGCCATCTTCTGCTCGGGGCGGCTGTGCAGACCCTGACTCCAGTGAGTCTCGGGGTGTCGGGCAGTTGACGTTGCTTTGCTTCACAGTAATGCCCAAGGACTGAAGCTGGTAATCAGTCACCAAGTCCTCAGAAACAAACCTCCCCAGGCTCAGAACAGAGGCGAGCAGTTGGGGCCAGGCCACTGCCTTGTGCCTGTCCTATCGTGGGAAAGGCCTCGTACTCAGATTTCTAAGCTGGTCTAATAAAGATTTTCAAAGTTAGTGTTATTTGCTCACGAATAGCCTTTGGAAAGGGATTTCACTTACACTTTTTGCAATATTTCCTTCAGAAAGATAAAACAATTTGGAAGTAATACCAAAGTGACTCAAAAATCATAAGATTTTACTACTGTCAAATACAAAAATAAGTTAATCTGCTCCCCAAAGTGCGCTGCAAAGCCAATTCTGGTATGACTTGCAGAAGTCACTCAACTGCTGGGAAGGGACCTACAGGATGAGTGACAAGTGCAGCCCCGCCTGTGTGTGGAACCTCAGCCTTGGGTTCCCCAGGCCAGGGACATGGCCCAGCTGTCACTAGAACAGCTTTTGAGTCTCGGGCAGAAGAAGCAGAAATCTGAACCAATGCAGTATTTTTAAGGACAGACTGAGCAGAATTGGGCTCTGTGCAGGGACAGTCACAGCCGCCTTGCCTCAGGCGAGTGGCTTCCAGAGGTAACCAGGACTGCAGGAAGTGGCCAGCTGTAACACCACCTGTTCCTTTGGGTCCCTTCCTGGACCATGGGGTGCTGACTGCATGCAGTGCTCAGCAGGTCCTCACCCTGACACCAAGCGCAGTCACACCAGGGAGCATGGCCAGGGCCAGTCCAGGCGCAGGCTGCAGGTCTTTGAGATGAGAGTAGGACAGCAGTACAGGCAACCCCAGTGCTTCCCGAGGACAGCGGTGGCTCTGTGGCAACGATGTGCGGAGCGCAGCCTCCACCGTGCGTCACCCTCTTTTCTTGCGGATGGGTGACCAGATCTTCAAGGACAGCTTGGAATTTCTCCATAGCTCTCAGGCCAGGCCTTTCACTGATGGAGGGGACTGAAATCTCACAGAAATGGGTGGTACTGAGCCTGGTGACACGAGTGTGGGGGGCGCTTGATAGCACCCCCAAGTAGCACTGGGGCTCACTGGTCTAAGTGGGACAGGTGATAGGTGGTGGCCAGTGACTCAACAGTACCAGTTTGCTGCTGCTGCGGGAGATCTCAGGACACGTCAGGAAATGACAGGTAGTCAGCGGTAATTTGTGACACAGATTTAGCAAAAATATATTGAACATAAAAGCCAGAAACTGGTAAGGAAAAAGCCAAATTTAAAAACTATACATAGCTTCCCCCAAATGTGTGTTCCTTACACGGGGAGAAGTACCGCTCGGTGTGGCCAACGCTTCCATGGTGGGCGTGAGTCCGAATCCAGAAGAGCAGGGGCTAGAAGCCACCAACACTGGCTGCATGGGGCTGGCCTCACTCAGAGGGAAAAGAAATGTTTTGAGGAAAATTCACATTAGTATAGAAAACATACAACAGTTTCAAAACGAAAGTCTAAATAAGGACTGTTGGACTCCAGGGTGACCACAGGCACAGCCTTGGCCATCAGGAGCAGCTCCGGGCCCTCAGAGACTACTCTGCACGCAGAGACAAGGTGTCACCTGCCTCGCTCTTACACAGACCACCTGGTCGGCGCTGCCTGAGGCTGCTGTGCTGTCCCCAGCAGAGGCCTGGCGGTGGGCGTCAGGTGGCGGGCGTGGTCAGTGCGGGTGCAGCCAGCTCTGTGGTGGCTCCGTGGGGCGCTCCCTCCTGGGCGCCTGCACATCTGTCGTGGCTGCCGGGGGCCGAGGTGGGGCCCATGCCTGGACCAGACGAGCGGCTCCGGTGGCTCCTGGCGCTACTTGCCTTCCGTGACCCGCCGCCAGCACCGCCTTTTCCTCCTCTTCCCCTTGGACTTGGCTGGCTCAGGAGGGGGCTTCTGGGCCTTGCCTTTGCGCAGCCCGACCTGCGTCCCCAAGTCATGCTCGCAGCAGTAGGACTGCCCGTCCTGCATGGTGCGCAGTGCCACCCCATCCTGGTGCTCCTTACACAGTGAATTCGGGCAGAGGTGGCAAAAGGACATGGAAGGCTTGCCACATACGTCGCAGTGATGCCACGGACACTCCCACTTCCCTGCAACAGAGCTCAGCGTCAGCGCCCAAGTGATGCCACGCCTCGGACATCTTCAAGGCTGCTGCTGTGATGTGGAGGGCATCGAGCTGGGGATCAGGGCCAGGGCCTCCAGCAGTGACTGACAGCGCACTGAGTGACACTGACCACCCACAGCAATCAGACACGGCGTTTCTGTGTAGCCAGACTGGCCTCAAACGTGCCATTCTGCCTCAGCATCCTGAGCGGCCAGGCTGACAGGCGCACAGTACCATGCCCACCTGACCATGCTTCGTGGAACTGTAAGCAGGGCATCATGCCACTGTGGCCAGAGCCCTAGGAGGAGCCCTGCTGACGTAGGAGGACCGCGCTCAGGACTAGCCTGGGCAACTTAGAGCTGAGTGGTAAAGCACTGTGGGGTTTAGTCCCCAGGGTCATAAAATCTGACGTCATCTAGCCAAGTAAATGCAAATCAGTGCAAACTGCTCATTTACATTCACTGCCAAGTAGAAGCTGATGCTCAGGCCTAGGGATCGCTCAATGCTGAGCTCGTACCCACTACGTAAGAAGCCCTAGCTTCCCTCCCAAATAGCACCACAACAGAACAGCACGGGCAGCAACAACTAAGACGCGGTGCTCAAGGAGCTGCTGAGCCCTGGCACTGGCGGGTGTGCAGGCTGCACGTGGACAGCTGAGCCACGTGCTGCATGGGTGGCTGGGCTGGGAGGCTGCCGCTGTGTGGCCACCCGTGCCTAAGGCACAGGTTTCTACGCTCCTGTTAACTCTATCCGGTAGAGGTCTCTATCTTGTGAGGAGCAACCATCTCACCAGGAAAGATTCTGTCGCCTGTAAACTCTGGTTTGTTATCCTTTCCCATGGGCAGCGGGGAAATGTGCTTTAAAGAATGATTCATACGGGCCAGCGAGATAGCTCGGCAAACTAAGTGCCTACTTAGGCAAGCGCATCCCTAGCACCTCATGCTGCACTGGCCGGGCCAGAGACCTGGGCATGGTGGCACACACCTGGAATGCCAACGATGGGGAGGCTGAGAACAGGAGGATCACTATGAGTCCGAGCTGCATAGTGAGACCCTGTAGCAAATACATTTAAAAAAAGAAAAGAAAGAAAGAAAAAAAATTTTTTTTACCACTTTTGTTTGTCCTTGGGTCAGGGCCTCTTAGATTCTCTTCTTGTTACTCTTTTGTGTGTGTGTGTGTCTTTTTGAGACAGGGTCTCTCTCTGCAGTTCAGGCTGGCCTTGAGCTCACTATGTAGCCCAGACTGGCCTCCAACTCGCAGCGATGCTCCTGCTTCAGACTCCCGAGTGCTGTGATTACAGGCATGCGTCACCATGCCCAGCAATTAGACTCTCTTCTAAAAGCAGGCACGGGGGCCAGGGAGATGGCTCAGGAGGATAAGCACTTCCCTGGCAAGTGCAAGGGCCTGAGTTCAATCCCTAGTTCCACCAAAAAAAAAAAAAAAGTAAAGTGAAGTTTGGGCTGGTGAGATGGCTCAGTGGTCTGAAGCACCTACTTAGAACAAGCTTAGCAAAGTACAGGCGACCACGGTTCAATCCCCCAGCACCACATGCCAGCCAGCTGCGCCCCCTGGTGGGCTGAGCTGGACACACACACACACACACACACACACACACACACACACACACACACAAAATTAAAAAAAAAAAAAGGCACGGTGGTACTCGCTGGTCATTAATCCCAGCACTCCGGGTTAATGAGGCTGGAGGAGCCCAAGTTTGGACTGTCCTACAGCCATTTAGCAACTTGGGAGCCCCTGTCTTGAAAAACTCTGGGGATGGAGCTCAGTGCAAAAGCCCTGCGTTTCATCTCCGTAACACATAACAACAGTAACTATCTTCTGAGATTAGAGCTGCAATTCGCTGCGATGTCCCTCATCCCAGTGCACCTGCCATCTGGGGCGGGGGGAGAGGCACATGCTGCTGAGGGGTGCCCTCCCCAGCCCCGCTGCACAACTCCTCCAGCCTCGCGGCTGCAGCAGCAGCAGCCCCGGCCTGGGCAGCAGGAGAGAGCGCCAGCGAGCAGGGGGCCCGAGGAGACGGCAGCCAGCACCTACCGAAGGGCCGCTTGCGCAGGCCCAGGCAGGACAGGTGGTAGGCCTTGGTGCAGAGCTTGCGGTCGCACAGCACCAGCTGCCCACCGTCGCCACAGCGGAAGCACTCGTCCTCTGACTGCCTCCTCCACTCCCCCTTGGTTCTGCGCCTCCTGCTTTTCTTCTTGGTCTTTTTGCCCTTTTCCTCTGAAGAAAGGGATGCTGAGGTCTGGAATCAAGAGTTCAACACAGTTCGTGTTAAGGAGTGATGCACACAGAGGCAGTCACGGCACACTTCAGGGCTCCAGCACGCAGCTGAGCGCTCTGCTGTGCAGAAAGCGCCTGCTCCTCCAGCAAGCCCTGACCTTGAGCGCCATGGAGCCCTCGGAGAGCAGGAGGAGGTGGGGACGGCCACTGCTCAGGGTGGCCTGCCACAGCCTGGGGCACCACCACGGTACAGGGGTCTCCCCATACTGTGTCCCTCCTAGAACCTTGAAATTAGACCTTATTTAGAAACAGGACTGGGTGTGGTGGAGCACATCTGTGATTCCAACACTCAGGAGGCTGAGGCAGGAAGATCGCTGTGAATTTGAGCCCAGTCTGGGCCACATAGTGAATCCAAGGCCAACCTGAGGTACACAGCAAGACCCTGTCTCAAAAAATAAACACAAAACAAAAAAGGAAACCGTCACCACAGATATAGCCAGGGTAAGGGCAAGTGTGACCAGTGGTCTCAGGAAAGAGGGTTCCATGGACTGCAGGATACTGCCATGGGCATGGAGGCCTGAAGAGCCTTTGGGGAGCATGACCTGGCCATCCCGACCCCGCTGCTGGCGTTCAAGCTGAACCTGCACCTCTGCTGTGGAAGCCACGGGAAGCCAGCCCTGGGAGGGCTAGGCCCTGCCTGTCACAGCAGTGTGTCTGCTTGGAGGAGGCCACCATCCCTAAATGAATGACACATCTTCCTAATGTCTGTATGGCCACTGACAGCTACGAGGCATGTGGGTCTTGTGGACAGTCACATTGAGGCGACGCTACCTTTGGCCTGTCCCCGAGGAACCCGCTGCAGTTGGAGGCTCCACACCGACAGACTGTTTTCTCATTGCCCAAACAATCAAGGTTGTAATTAAAAGTCAGCTCTGTCCCTGGGAAAAGAGGAGACCAACACATCACCGGAAATGATTACTCCTGCTTACTACGGAAGGGAGCTCAGCCAGCCTACAAACACGCACCTGCTGTCCTATGCACCCCAGCCACCTCTACTCTGAGAACATCTGAAGAGCTTCTGAGTCACCCTGAGCCCTCCAGCCCAGCCATAACCCCCACAGCCCCCAATGCCGCACCTGCAGGAATGTCACACACAGCAAACAGGCCCACGCGGGTGTCCCCATTCACTGTCCACTTGAGGGTCTCACAGTTGGGCTGGCAGCTGTGGTTCATAAACCGAGAATAGTTTCCTTTGGGCCCGGCATCGATTATACGGTCCTATGGGGGGGGGGCAGTCAATTGCATTAATCACTCAGCTCGAAGCAGCCGTAACTGCGGGCAAATGGTTACCTACAACGATGATGATGAGCAGTCACTGCTGCCGGGAAATCTGCATCCTGCATGCCCCCGAACAGCCACCCCCAACCAGGCCCCATCTCTCACCCATGGAGGGAGGGCTGGGACCACAGGAGGGGCTGGTACCAAGTGAGTGCTGCAAATGGGTCAACATCAGAGCCACCGCCAATCCCCACAACCAGTCAGAGCAACAGGCAGGAGGCAGGCATTCAAGTTCCAACAGCGGGGAAACAGAGCCAAATCCACAGCCCTGGCGCCACGCTGGCCAGGAGGTTGTGACAGCAGAACCACAGGTCACGAAGGACAGCACAGCAGTGCACATGCGTACAAGGAAAATGGCAAACGCCTACTGTGGCCCAAACCAGAGGACAACACAGTCCACAGACAGGAAGAAGGTAAGTCACAGCATGGCCTGCCTCACCCTGGGAGGCCCAGGTCACACGGATGACAGGAGTGAGGTGCTGGGGCAAACCTCACACACAGCCCCAGCACACGACACTCGGGAGTGAGCAGGCACCGACTACAGCCCCGGACACTTCCGGGGGACACCACAGCCCACTGCCACTGGCCTGCTGTGATGGCAGAGCAACGACGTTAGGATGTAGCAGCTCTGCCGAAGTACACGAGCGCTGACGACGGGCCAGGGTCACGCTGTCAGCAGTACGGAGTCTTGGGAACACCACACACACGCATGGCGTCTGCTGCTGGACCCCGGCCCAGGCGGCGCAGGGACGGCCCACGGGCCCCACCCCGGCAGCAGAGTGGCCCAGCTCTGCCCCAGTGAGCGCACAAGGCATGGTCTGCTGCGCTCACGCACTGCTCTTTGTCCAGGCAGGTGCCCTCACGCCTGGCATACAGGACCCTTCTCTGTCACTCGTGTCTTCTCCTCTGTGCCCCTTCCCCACCTCGGCTGGTCCTGCCTCGCCCTCTCCAGGCTGACTGGGGCCCGGGAGCCCTTTAACGAGTGGAAAGTTGGTCCTGCATTTCTGCTCTTCATTGCTCAGTTTTCACATGCACACTTGGGGACATCTAGAGTCGGTAAAGCCTTTCTTGGCCTTCACACAGACGCAGAACCGCAGGGTCAGCCTGGGCTGACTTCCCCATGGTTTATACTTGCTGCAATGGTCAGTGAGCGCTTTGTATCTAAGGCCAGGCGTCCCTGTTGTCGGGCTTGGCCTCGAGAGCGCGGCCTGAGGCACTCATCCTCCCGCCTAACCAACACCTTCTCATGTCCCTGCGCCCTCAGCCGAACATGCCAGGCAGCTGACAGCCTCTCCCTCCGCACGCCCTGACTTACTCAGTGGTGGCTGCTCACTCACTACTCCTTTCGGGAGCTCACACTTCACTTCTGAAGTTCAACTTTTTCTACCCCCAGCATCTCCTTTCTTCTTCCTCCAGCTAAACAACGCTAACAGTGTCCGCCCAAGTGGTACCAGCAGGCCCCCCAGGCCGGGCTCAGCTGCTGGACAGCTTCTCCACGTGCTCCCGGACCTCGAGCTCTCTGGCCTAGCACTGCCTTATCTCTAGGGGGTGCTCTTCTCGCTGCTTTTTTTGTTTTTTATATCTTGGTGGTCTTTGGAGCTTCTTGGGGTTTTGTCTAACAGCACAGCTAGGTACAGATTTTCACATGCCTTGCTCAAAACCTGACCCTTTCCATCAGCACAGGAAGACACCCCCACAGGTTTTCCCACATGCCCTCGCCCACTTCCTGTCTTTCCATCTGGGGCATCCACTAAACATTTCTATTTCCTGGGTCTCAGTCTCTTTTAATGAGAGACTTTAAAACTTTAAAACATCTTTTTTCAGTTTTAAAGATAGATGAAAGCTGTAAAAACTCTTTTCATCTTCTTATTTTATTGTGCTCTATTCTAGATCATTTCTTTTTTCTTTTTTTCTTCTTTTCTTTTTTTTTGGCTGAACTGGGGATTGAACTCAGGCCCTTGTGCTTGCCAGGGAAGTGCTTATTCCACTGAGCCATCTCCCCAGCCCCTCTAGATGATTTGTTTAATGCATTTTCTACTTCAGTAATTTTCTCTATAGATATGGTTTTTCTTAACTCATTCTCTAGGTTAATTTCAATGGCAAGAACAAGGACCCGAGTTTGATCCCTGGTACCATATGCTGTGCCGCCCCTAGAACTCAGGCGTGCTGGTGCACACCCGTAATCCCAGTGCAGTGAGGCTGAGACAGGAAGATCACTACCAGTTCAAGCTGCATAGCGAGACCCTGTGCCAAATAAATAAATAAATTTCAATGAGTTTTCCCCTAATTTTTGTTATAAAACAAATCTAACACTAAGTTTACCACCATAACCATTTGAAGTATACAATTCAATGATAATGAACATATTCAGGGGTCAGGGATGTAGCTCAGCTACACAGCACCTGCCTGCCCAGTGTGAGGCTCTGGTTTGATTCCTGGAATCAAAACAACAAAACATTCATAAGCTGTGCAGTATAGTGACGCCCAGATTCATGTGAGGAAGCAAAGCCTGTGTCCGTGACATCTCTCCCACCCTCTGAGTGCTGAATGCTTCACACAGTGGGATCCACACGAGTTGCCTGTGTCCAGCTGCTTTTTTTTTTTTTTCCAGAACCGGGGATTGAACTCAGGCCCTTGCGCTTGCCAGGGAAGCGCTTATTCCACTGAGCCATCTCCTTGGCCCTCAGCTAGTCTTCATGTGGCATGGTATCCTCCTGCACAACCCAGGTCCTTTGCTAGTAGTCAACTGTGTAGATAAGCCACAGTGGGCTGACCTGCTCACTGCTTGGACACTTGCTTCTTCCACAGTTTAGTGCTGGCTGGAATGCCAGTATGAACCCTTCCTTAAGGCCTTCTGTTTCACACATCCTGTTTGTGTGCATCCAGAAATGGAGCTGCTGGATCACATGGTAATGTTATGGTAGTTTTCTTTTTTCATGGTACTGGAGACTGAACCCAGAGCATTTTACTGTTGAGCTACATCTACAGCCTTTTTCCTTTTTATTTTTTAGTCTGAGCCACAGTCACTAACTGCCCAGAATGACCTCAAACTTAAAACACCCCTGCCTCAGCCTCTACAGGAGCTATGATTACAGATGTGTGCCTCCACATCTGGACATTTTCTAACTTTTTGAAGCACCTGTTTCCCATACTGGCTGCTTACTTTTGTATTTCTACAACCAGTGCTGTCACAAAATGACATCTTCACCTACTGTTTAAGCTCTTTGTTTTCAAATGTATTAGTTTAGAAAACTAAAGGTAGAGTTTTAACACTAAGTTACAACAGTAGCTTTATACTGCCTTTCTTTAAAAATGTATTTATATCCGACCTCGGCCTCGGCTTTGTTCCTGGTGGTCGCACATCCGGCTGGTGGGCTGTAACCCAGCAAGATGCTGTGGAATCTGCTGGCTCTCTGACAGCTTTCTCAGAGGACCATCAGCACTGCTTCACGCAGGCATTTTGAAAACAAAGTTGCACAGAAACGAAAGCTTTTTCAGGACTCAGGACTACAATGGCATCCCAAGAGGGTAGCTGATGCCCTCTTGTACAGCGCCACTACCACTCTCACAGCGGGCAGAACGGCGTATGCCATATACCAGCTGGCTACGGCATCTTTCCCAAGAAGCCGGAACGATTTCAGGCAATTCAGAAGTTACGAGGCTCAGTTCCAGTTGGCTCTCTGGATCAGTAATATGATAAACAACTGAGCTTTTCTTTGGGGATCAATATTTATTGACTTGTACTAATTGTCACCAATAAAGCAGTCTTCACCAGTAAAAAGAAAAAAAAATGTATTTATACATTATATCATATTAGAAACAAGCAAAAACGAAGCTCCCAATGACTCCCACAGTAACTGTTCCCGTGTGTTCCCGCAGGCGGGCTCTGCACCAGCCAGCACACCCTTCCTGTGCACTGCCAGCAGGAGCCTCGCCGACCCTGGGCACTGCCCGCAGAGGTCGTGTGGCCAGCATCCTTGCTGTATTTGCCTGGCCCTGTCTCCACCTCCCCCTCACTTCTGAAACTGCAGATGGGCTCTGCAGGCGAGGGGCCCACTGCCTGGCTGCTGCTTCCCCACACAGCCCTCCACTCTGCACACGCTGGCAGGGCCTCCAGCCTGTCTGCTTGGCAAAACCTACGACCACCTTCACAAGGTCCCTGCATGGGACAAGGCTCATCTATCTCGCTGCTTCTGAGACCTCTCTTCAGCTCTGGTTTTCAGCAGTTGCGTCTGAGCTCACTCAGACTCCTGAGGGCCTGTTCTCACTCACTGCCCCCGCGGAGAAGCCTTCCACCAGTATCTCTTTACATGGCCTCTGCTGCTTTCTCTGTTCCCCACAGGCACTCCCACAAACACATGGCAGTATTCTATACACCCCGTAGGGGCACAATCATTGTTTCTCTTTCTGCTCCTCAGGCCTGACAATTCCCACTGTCCTATCACTGACTTGGGCCTACCCAAATCCGCTTCTGAGCTGGGCAGGGTGGCACATGCCCATAAGCCCAGTGCTAGGGAAGCTGAGACAGGAAGATCACTCCCTGCAAATTTAAGGTCAGCATGGGCTACACAGTGTGTCAAGGCCAGCCTGAACTTCTGACCAACGAGATCTTTGCTCAAAAGGTCCAAAAAAAAGTCTGCTTCTAGGTCTCTCTAGAGAAATTTTCGTTTTGGTTCCTGTCATTTCTTGGCTCTGAAATATCTGGTTTTCTGTCTCTTCAGCAAAACTGCCGTTTCCCCAGTACACAGATTTCTTGACTTTCTCTAAATCCTCCTTGGTTTTCTGAGCAGTTCTTTGAAGCTGGTTCTTTGAAACAGTTTCTTTTTAAAATCTTTGTCTAAGCTGGGCATGGTGGCACACAACTATAATTCTAGCACTCTGTGAAGCCGAGTCAAGAAGATCCCAAGTGTGAACTAAGACTGAGCAACTCAGCCAGACCTCATCTCAAAATAAAAAGGGCTGGGAATGTGGGTCAGGGCGAAGGACTAGGGCTCACTGCCGAGACGACTTGCATGGAGACAGTTTCTGTTGGTTTTTCTTCTTTGAATGTCTATACCTCTCCACTTCTTTGCAGGCCTTGGGATTTGTTAATTAAAAACTGGTGAGTTCAATCTAGTACCACGCTGACTCTGGAAATCAGGTGCTCCTTTCCCCTTGGGCTTGCTGGGTGCAGGGTGTCTCCTGCTGTTTCTGACTGCTGCCAGCTATCTCCACGCTGAGGCTCAGCCTGAGGAGAAAACTGGGGTCTTCTCGAGCCAGCCCACACCTCCCCAGGCAGGTGCATTCACCCCTTCCCTACTCCGCAGCTGCCTCAGAAGTCCCCTGCTTCATGTCTGGCTCCTAGAGGCAGAGGAAGATGAAGCCAGTGGTGAGAAGAGCCTGCTGGAGCAGAAGGAGGTGCCACAGCAGAGCCACCACCCTCTGCACTGCTGCAGGCTGGGGCTGCCTGGTGTGCGCAGCACCTGGGATGGCTGCAGCTGCCCCAGCTGCACAAGCGGGAGGTGCACACCCATTCCAGCTGACTGCTCCCTCTGTCACTGCTCTGAGAATCTTCAAACAGTCCACAAGAAATATAAAACCACATGCAGGTTGCGCTTGCTCCTTGTGCTTGCTCTCTGAGTGGCCCTCCTCACACCCCAGGAGGTGGCGTCCTGGAGTGTGCCCCACAGCCTCGCTTGGGCTCCTGCTACCTATGCCTGATTCTTGTCTCCAGCACTGTGCACCTAGCAGGCTGCACACACAAGAGCTGGTCACATGAGGGCCAGGAGCCTGCAGTGGCGTAGAGAGCAGCAGCAGCTGATGGGCACAGGCAGGACTGGAGGCAGAGGAGGCCATCGAGCGTGGCACCCAACAGACCTGCAGTAGCCTGAAGAGGGCCCAAAGAAGCAGCTGAAGCTGCAGGAAGAACACCAGAGAGCCACCAGGGGCTGTGAGCCCCAAATGCTGAGGAGGCAGCCAGGAGCCCACAGGAGCTGTAATGCCAAGGACTGGAGCCACCGTGACGCAGACCCCAGAGTTGCCAAAAGACCTGGACTACGCCAACTCACAGTTCCTATACAAACCAAGCAAAATTTCTATCTAAACCTTCTGCTGATCAGCGATGCTTCCAGTCCACATCCCGTGGCCCCCAAACATGTGGCCTCCCTGACTTGGGAGCTGCCCTAGCTCCAGGATCTAAGAGCTTTCCTAGCTACACAGGAATGCAGCCTCCTCAGCTGTCACCCTGAGCAGGGCAGTCACAGCTTCCCATGGGGTTGCTCAGGAGTTCTTGTGCCATTTCTGGTGACTCTGACCTCAGAAGCCCTGCTCACTGCTCGCTGCGTGCCGGCACCATCTACAGAAGGCCGGGTCAGTGGCCGGCCACGTGCTGAGAGAGCCAACTCTCCAGCTCCGGGACCCATGCTTCTCACCCAGTTGTTTTATTCAAAAAGATTTCAAGGGCCAGTCAGCTAGCTCAGTAGACTAAAGCGCCCACTTAAGCAGAGCACAGCAGCTGGGATTTGATCCCCCGCATGCCATGCCAGACCCACCCCTGGGGGCACACTGAGATGGCGATTGAGACTGAGCGTGGTGGTGTGTGCCTGTAATCCCAATAATTGTGAGGCTGAAAACAGAATTACTACAAGTCTACATAGTGAAACCCTGTAGACCCTGTATACATAAATACATTAAAAAAAAAAAAAAAAAAGATTTTGAACCTACAGACAAAATGGGCTAACAATATACAGTGCTGCACGTTCACCTGCACTCATGGCCTGGACATGTGCAGCTCTTGGTTGGTTCTCTGCTGAGACAGTCAGCCCTACTGAAAGACCCGTGCCCACAGGAAAAACTCCCAGATGCTTGGGGAAAGCACTCCGGAGGCAAGGCGGATGAACACCACCACACTGCCGGGAGCGCCCCACATGACCCTCAGGGCCCCGAGCAGGAGTGGGCGGGGAGGACGGCCCATTACCTTGTCTATGGTGAGCATGTAGAAGTGCGTGATGTCGTTCTCATGGGCATACTTGATCCTCGCCATACACTCCTCCTCATCGATCAGCTCACCGACATACTCATTCACAAACTCCCCCTAGAGGTCACAGGAAGATGACAGTAACCGCGAGGAGCATGCCGACAGCTCAGCACTGCCTGCCAGAAGAGGGGTACATGTGCCCCCAGTGCTTGGGGTGGCTCCCAAAAGGCCCTGCCCTTCAAGGAAGTTCAGAGGACACAGGCACTTCATTAGTAAGGCTGAGAACAGAAACTATGCTCAAGTACTCCTGAAACAGCAGCATCCAACCCTGCCTCCTCTGGGACCTCATCTCCTAGGAGATGTCTGACAGCCCAGTGTCCACAGTCACCTTAGATGCAGGTCACAAAGAACTTGATGGGCTCTGCAGCAAGTGTGATGACCGACAACTGAGGAGGGAGAGCAGCAGGGCTGTGAAGGGCATCTCCACACGGTGTCTTTTGCCACAGATGGGACTGGGCCACGGACTGCACCCTGGATACGGAGCTGTGGGTGGAGACCTCCTGCCCCAGGCCGTGCCACACATGTCAGGGGCACGCTACATCAAGACTAGCAGTTCCATCTGTGTCTATGCTAATTCAGTCTGAAGGCGGAGGCAGGCTGTCAGGCTTGCTAGTGTTCACTAACAGCTTCTCTCTGGATGACACTGGGCTCACCCTTAAAAACAGGGCCCCCTTATGCTCCTGAGCACTGAGACACCACAGTGTGGTGTCTACAGAAATGGTTGCTGTGTAAATCTTTCCATTTTATAAAAACCATCACAGCTCTGACTTTAGATGTGCTTCAAGGGAACTTCTGAGTATTAACTTTGACAGATCTCTCACGTAACATTTTAAATATTCAATTGTAATAATTCAATGGAAAAACGAGCTTTAAAGATACCATTCTCACACGAATGCAAAGGGACAATAAGCAAACCTAGAGAACTACAAACTCTAATTTCTTAGTGGTGGGGAGAAGGGACAAAGCACACACCTTTCTGATGTCCCGCTTGGCCACCAGGCCCCACCCTTTGCCATCTGTCTTGATGATCTTGGTCTCCGGGTACTGGCGCTTGGTGAAGCACTGATTCTGGCAGTATTCACCCGCGGGACACACCTGCGGGTGGCACTCAAACATCAGCATCCTGTTCAAACACTCTGAGTCAAAGCCACAGGGATTCTCATCTGTGGGCTTACAGTTACACTTCGGGATTTCCGAGATATCGGCAGTGTAGATCTGGACTTTCCCGTAAGGCTTATTCACCTGCAGGAGAAAAGGGAGCTGTCTGCTGTCTTGGTCCCACACTAACACAGCCTTCCAGATGCCCATGCACCACTCTTGCCTGACTGGCAGATCCCACAGCAGCCTGGGCCAGCCCTTGGTGGGCGCCCCGGACAGAGGGGCTAACCCCATTATTTTATCTCAGTGTTCGTCTTTTTGAGCAAGAACTGATTTTGTGCAGACGAGTGGTTCTAGCCAAGAGCAGAAGCGTATGCACAAATGCACATGCGCACACACAGCCCTGTGTATCACCTTGATGTGCTTGTAGGGTGGGGGCTTGCGCTCGCTTTCCTGTGTTTCCCGGGCTTCCCTTTGAAGTTTCACTTCACGAAAACGAGCTTCAGCTTCTTGCAATGCTAAAACATCAATGAAATATGAGGAAAATATTTGAGTAAATGAAAACTTCTAAGCTTTAAATCTTAGCAGCTTCCTCTAAACCTTCACTGCTAAGTTCAATTTCTGGTCTCCTTGAAGCTACAGGTTACAGAACACTGTTGAGGACGGTGTTTTCAATGGGCAGAATGCTGCAAACAGAGCCACACTCCAGGGTCATTTGGGTGACCCTCAAGTACTGGCACAAAGATGGCCCCAGGATAGGTTTCTGGTGACCATCACAGGGTACTAGTGTCACTGCTCAGGAGGCAACAGCCCAAGACAAGATAAAATGGCCCATGCTCCGAAGAAGGAGCTGTGGGGCCGGAGAGATAGCTCAGTCGAATAATCACTTGCCTGGCAAGCTCAAGGACCTGAGTTCAATCTCCAGAAAGAAAGAAAGAAAAAGCACAAAGAAGGGGCTGTGGGAGGTGAACAGGCAGCAAGGATACTAAAAGCCACCTGGGCCTAGGGCCCATCAGTGCCGGCCTACCCTGCAGCTGGCCCAAGCTGTGGGCCTGGCCCAAATGAGTCTGGTCTCCAGGGTCAGGAGCCCAAGCCTTCAGCAGTGACTGTGGCACCAAGCCCAGCAGGCTACCCTGTCATGATCCTTCTTTTTAGTAACTGACAAGTATCTCTTCCTGACAACCTGTTCTTACTCAGACTCCTGAACACAAGAGGCCACAAAGGAGAGCTCCTGGCAGCACAGACCTGGCAGTTTTCGCGACTGTGCCCCACATGCACACACACCTAGGCCCCTAGCTGAACCCAGGAGCCCGTGTGTGCCTGGGGCTTGCCCTACTGTGCGCACCATTCTCTCCTAGGGGTAAACACTAAGTCCTCTCTCAATGAAGCCACATCTCCATCCTGTCTCCTTCCTGGGTCATCAGCCAGCCTCAACCACCTTCACTCCTTGTGGCTGCCAGCCCAGATGCAGAACCAAAGCTCACACACCTTGCTGAGCAGCCCCAAATGCCAAACATGGCACCCAGGCCCAGCTGTGTATGCAGAAGCCAAAGGCAGCCACTGGAGGCTGGGGCACAAGGCCAGACACAGGAGATGCCAGCAAAGCTCCCTCCCACACAAAGGCCAGCTTTGGAGAACACCTGCAGCTGGCTCCCAGCAGTCTCCTAGACAGCTTTACTGTACTCTAATGAATCACAAAACAAAACTACAAAAAAAAAATTTTTTTTACAAAAATTATTAAACAGAGTATCTTTTTCTATGCCTCAAAGAATAGATCAGGGCTGGCCAAATAGCTCAGTGGATTAAAGCAAGTGGGTGCAGGAACATGGGGTTCAATCCCCCCAGGCATGCTGAGATGGCAACTGAGACTGGGCATGGTGGCGTGCGCCTGTAATCCCAGCTCTTGGGAGGCTGTAAACAGGTGTATCACTACAAGTCCAATCTAGTAGTGAGACCCTGAACACCCTGTAGACCCTTCCCTAAAAACAAAAATTTAAAAATTAAAAAAATCAGTCCATAAACTTTTTTCTAATTTAAAAGCACAAGTAGAATTTGAAAGTAAAAGCATGTTCTACAAAGATCAAATTTCAAAAGAGCCCAAGTCAGGATTCACAAAAGGCATCCAAGAATGCTGTTCCACTTTACTGGGAAATCTCCATACCATTTTTGAAGACTCTTCCGATGCCTCTGACCCCATGGTAGCGGCTGCCCCGGTCCCCCTCCATGTACGGGAACACTCGTGCCTGATGCGTCCAGTAATAATCTTTAGACCCAAAGAAAAACACAGGGAATTCTCCAATCTCGTGCTTCATTTTCTGAATATTTGGGGGAACATTTTTGGGATGGCAAACTTCTGCCGGCCACCATCTATTATAAATATTAAAAACAGGATTCACAGACTCTTCAGAGAGAGCGACAATCATTTCAATACTTTAAGCACTGTAAAGTGAAACAAAGACATGTGAACACAGACGTAAAAAGCACAGGACTCTTCTCCACACCTGTAGTTCCCAAGTTTGACCCAAATGATATCCTGGAAGTGCAGCTTCTTCCCAGCCCTGCAGTCGTTGCAGAACCAGCTGCCATCGGGCATGTCAATGTTCAGGCAGTCAGGGTGGAAGGCTGCCGGGCAGGCTTCGCAGCACAGGAGGCTTCCCCCTGCAAAGGAGGCGACGCTGAGCCCGGGGTGCCAGGCTGCGCAGCCCAGCCTCGCCTGGAAGCCCTGGGCAGGAGACAGCCATCCACCGTGTACTAGCACGTGACCTGAAGTGCGCAGCGCACAGCCTGTGCAGCGATTATGGTGAGAAACCACCAAGTGCTCCCAAGGGAGTACGTGGACCCCGCCCGGATGGTGGGGACAGGAACTACGACCTGCATGCACGGATGGCCCTCGAACTCCTGGCGCACCGCGTAGGGCCATGTGGCAGGGGTGCGGCCTCACCTTTAGAGCACACGAAGCACCAGCTCACGTTGACGTGGCTATGGTGCCGCTTCCCTTTCCGAGCAGTGAAGTGGGCCGTGCAGATGATGCTGTGCGAAGCGATCACTGCGCAGCCTGCTGCCAGACACGCATCCCCTCCGTGGTAGGCCACTGGGCAGCGCACACACCGCATCATTTTACCTGAGGATGAGAAGCGTACCCTGAGACCCAGACGCTGCCACCTTCCACAGAAACTGCGGTGCCTAAGACAGCGGGAAGGCAACCATGGGGCAGCCTGGAGGCGTCTGATCACAGTCCCTCTCATCCAGGCAAAGGTGCTTCAAACTGTCCATGAAGATGCACAGGCACCTGAGACATCACACTCTACAGAACGGCCAACCAGCATGCTCAGCCCGGACACTGGCATGAGCACATGCACCACTGACTCTTCACAGCATCACCATCCTCTCCCTACCAAATGGCAGCTGCACCATGCCAGACACAGACAAAACCACCACTAGTGCAAAAGCCACGGCACCAAGAGGTACCCAGAACCTGCCCTCTCCGACCCCACACAGCTACTCTTAAATCATGGAGATGAAGTATGACCTCACCATGTTTTCCTTGTTTGTGAAAGACCCTAAAACCAGAGCAAACAGGACTCATCAGAACAGTTTGCAGAGGGCCCTCTCAGAACTAAGGATCCTGAAGATGCTATCTGGGGTAAAGAGCAGGGAGGACTGAAGGAGGGCCTGTGTCATGGAAAAGCCCTGGCTGACCTGTGTCCGGTCAGCAGAGCAAGGGGAACCGCTCTAGAACATCAGTTTGTCCCTGTGGCAACAAACCCAGCGGGCACCAAGCCACCCTCCTGGGAGCCACCCTCCACTACCCACCATATCCATACCTTTTGAGGGCCGAGGGTTTGATGGGTTGGAGGCATGGCAGCTCACGCAACTATGGAGGGGGCAGCGAAAGCCCCGGCTCTCAAACACGGTGAGCGGGTACTTCTTCACACAGGCCTCATGGTAGAATTTGCCACACTGGGTCACGACACAGCGCTTCACCTCTGCCTTGCTCTCCTTGCACACGAAGCATGAGTGGATCCCTAATACATGGTTAAAAATCGGGGACAGGTGAGACTACAGCTCTGGGCCCCAGCTCTGCCTTTCTCCTAGAGGCAGCTGGCTGTGTCCCCAGCTGTTGCCTTCCTTAGAATAGCCGGCCACCAAAGGCTATCATGCTGTGGCTGGCAAGAGCTGGAAAAGGGCACTCTGCAGGCTGCGCACAGCCACAGGGCAGACCCGCTCTCTGGCGGCCTGGCAGGGACTCCCAGTGTACTCCCAGCCCCCAGGTGGGGAATGCGTGCACACGCTCCCACTACAACCCGTGACCCGACATGGAGGCAGCAGGGCCCACACTGGGCACGCAGGATGAGCAGGGCAACAGTCTTGCCCCCTGGTGGAGAGCACAACTGGGGGAGGAGAGGAGCGGAGCAGTAGGGAAGCATCTCAGAGGCTCACTTGCCTGAGGCGCACTCACTGCAGGTGAACCTCCCCTCAGGTCTGCGGGGAAGCCCGAGGCAGGAGGGATGGAAGGCTCCGCAGCACGGGCCTTCACACAGCAGGAGGCTGCCTGTCTTCTCGCATACCTGTGGGCACAGAGGGGGCCATCAGCCCATGCCCTTCCCTTCCCAAGGGGACTGTCCGGTGCTGCGTGCATGCTGGAAATCTGCTCTTCGGCTCACAGCATGTGACCACCTGTGCACACGGAATTCCAGGCCTCACAGAGCCCAAGACCAATGCAGCTGGGAGAGTCAGCCACTGTCACAGGATGGAGCCCATCCTCAGTGAGGCGAGCAAACATGGCCCAAACCTTGAAGCATGTGCTGCAGAAACATTAGGTCAGACATGGAGACCAGGGAACCCACAGCACACTCAGGAAAGGGCAGGCCTCCCATGGCCCGGCGGGGGCCAGGCTGATGGGCAGCACACCTACCCACCAGTCCATAGAGCCCACCAGCAGGGCATGGGATGAGGCACACAGGCGAGTGGTCTGCAGCAGGTGGCCAAGTCCCCAACTGCCAAGCGCTGCTATTCGCTGGTCAGCGGTCAGGTGACAACTTAGCGCAGGCCTCACCCACCCAGCAGATGTTAGCATGGAACCACTCAGAGCAGGCGCCTCACACTGCTGGCTCTCGGTATGACTGGTCTACAGGGGAGGGGTCACGTGTGAACCAGGACTCTGATGGCAGCTCGGCCTCCAACACAGACCCTGGAGCAGAGGAGGCTGGAGGAGGCTGGGGGACAGGATGCTCACTGGGAGCCTCACTCTGCATCCCTAGGGTTTGAGACAGACACCTCACAGAGAGGTTAGGAGCTGTCACCCCTCACCTGACACACATACTCCTTTTTGGCTGCCACTCCTCGTTCAGATTTTTTAGACGAGATGGACACTTCAGTCTGTGTTTCATCAGCACTTTCGTAGGGCGACTCCGAGGGCTCATCTCCTGGGCTGTCTGAGACCTGGGGAAGAAGGAGGTGGGCGGCGGTTCACTTGTCACAGAAAGCAGTGGAAGCTGTGTCCTCAGAGACATGGCCCACCCAGCCCCAGCTCCTAGACCTGTTGTGGACACAGCACCCACTCGCTTTGCGCAGTGCAACACGTCACCAGAGCTGTGCAGAGCTCAGAAGCGGACTTTTCAGTCTACACACATCTATATGAGGCGAAGCCTTCAAAGGCAGACACTCAGGAAGACCAGTCTGCTCCACCTGGTGTGCAGAGGTGGGCTCTGGGATTGAGAAGCTGCCCCTTCTTACCTACTCTGTTCAGGTCCAAACACCAAATGCATTTTAAAGAGACAGGTGAGGTGCCCAAGCGTAAGGCACCATGCTGGCTGACTCCCAGCAGCAGAGACCAGGCCCTGGGGAAGATGTTCCTGCGGTCCTGACAGGAGGGAGGTGGGGACATCATGTAGACCCACTCCAACCAGCCTGACTCATCTCCTCCTCCCACTGCTGCGCCACAGGAAGCGAAGGTCATGTGCCTGTGCTGGGAGCACAGGGTCTAAGGAGAAGGCCAGGAGAGAGCCGGGACAGGGAGCAGCCGAGGCTCAGGACATAGGATGGGGCTGAGGCCTCCCCTGGTGGAAGTGTGTCTTTGCCTTCACTTGACAAGCAAGTAATAATACACAAGGAAAGGAGTCGAGCCAAAACTTTCCTATCTAAAGTTTTGATTCTTATTTGACATTAGCTAAGTGTTAAAAACTGACTTTTGGAGATGGAAAGGAAAATCAAGTGACATTTGCTGTCCACCTCACTGATCACACCGTAAGTAATGATGCTACAGCCTTGTTCGTTAACAAGTACAAAGCTAGATTGTGACATTGTGCCATATTAAAAAAATAAAAACAAAAGCTGGCCACTTCTGGAGACTTGTTCGTAAGCCTTTCCCAGATTTAGCACACCGAAATTATAGGGAACAGTGCAACAACAACAACAACAACAACAACAACAACAACAACAAAAAGCCTAGAGTTTTTTTAGAACCTGACGGTGAAGGGGCTGGTTTCCTGAGGGCCGTGGAGTCGTGAAGCCAACAAGGACCACTGTCCTTGTCCTATTAGACACATCTCATGACAATGGTCTGTTGAAACAGTGGCCTTGTAAACTCATTGTTTGTCCCTCGGCAGAAAGATGGGGACAGCTTGAACCAGTACTAGAGAGCCGGCCAAACAGCTCAGGGGACTAAAGGGCCTGCTTAGGCAGACACGGAGACCAGGGATTGACCCCTTGCATGCAGTGCCGGCTCCGCCCCCAGGGCGCGCTGAGATGACTGAGGCTGGGCATGGTGGCACACACCTGTAATCCCAGCGCTTGGGAGGCTGAAAACAGGAGAATCACTAGGAGCCTGATCTGTGTAGTGAGATCCTGTACTAAACACATGAAAGAATAAATAAAAAAGTGAACCAGTACTAGACTAAAGCTGTCAGCTACAGCTGTCACCAGTGGCTGATAGTGGAACTGCAGGGCCCACTGCCCATCCCTCACCCAGCAGTTTACCTCCCCCACTTCCTCAACATCACTATCTAGAAAGAGGCAGCTTAAAAGGCTGAGATCACACCCCAAATTTATCAGATAATGTCACAGCCAGGGGTCTGAGCACTTCTGAAGTGAGACTGGAGTGGGAGGGGCAGAGTCTCGGAAATCAGGAAGCTGGAGATACACGGTCAGCAACCACTCGCCGCTGGCGACCCACCTGCCTGACTCAGGAAGCCAGGCCCAAAGAAGGGCCTCGTCAGGGCCAAGGGAAGAGAGACCTGCACTCCATCCACCAACCCCGTGCCTCCCTTAGTGGGGCTAGAACACATTTCCAAGCTGAAGAGAGAGAGGAGAGAAGAGAGGAGAGAGGAGAAAAGAGGAGAGAGAAGAGAGGAGAGGAGAGGAGAGGAGAGGAGAGAGAGGAGACAGAGACAGAGAGAGAGAGAGAGGAGAGAAAGACAGAAAACACAAACCAGTCCTGGGTTTGAGGAAGGAACAGCACCTTTTATTTAAGATTTACAGAAAGTCAGCACGTCTCCACTTGGAGAAATTTCCTAAATTAACAAAGTCTGCTTTGAGGAGATAAACATGGAATACATACTTTGAAAGGAAATATAAATGTGACGACACACGTGAGGCGTGTTTCCTGGTTGGGTCTGAGATCCACATACAGAACACAGACCTTACAATATCACAGTCCATGACACAGTGCACAAGACCCCTTTCACCCCCACTGCCCTCCCCACAAACCAGCGACAGACACCTGGCCAGGTTGGGGCCCCTGGGTGCGACCTGGCAGGACCCACCAGAGCAGCCCAGGCTCCTCACTCGGGCTGTAGCTCCACCTCTGTGCACACTGGGTGTGCAGACTCACTCGGAGACGCCCCTGTGGAGGTGACATGGCCCCATATGGTCCCAGCATTCAGGGCTCAGCCTGCAACATCTCTGCCCTATTCCATGTCCAACAGGGTACATGTGGGGAAAGGAGAGTGTGGTGACAGACTGGACACAGACTGTCACAACTTTCCCAGCACATCCCACCCGCCAAGGCCACACTAGCAGCAGATCTCCAAGCAGCTTAGTTCCTGACTTTTACAAATTTTCTTAGGTCTGAAAATACTTTCTCTGCTCTCAGCAGCATGTGACTGGACCACGCTACCTGTGTGCCTTCAAATACATTCCTTTGGGGGCAAGGACTCTCAAGATGCCATCACCAAACAGTGTGACCAGTGAGCATATTCCAACCAACCGCCTGCACAGCGTGGCTGTCGGGCTGGCTCAGGGTGCCACCAGGTCACCTGCATACCCTTGCCTGTGCTCTGATACACAGCAAGTTTTTAATTTTTGACAAAACAAATCCTCTCACAAGTTAAATACTACATCAATTTTGAAATACAATTACAGACCTTGAACAATAAATATTTCTATAGACTGACATTCTTTGCATTGTAAGTTACGATTTTTAAAGGAAGAACTGGTTAGCAGAAGTACTTTTCACAGAGTATTTTAGATTTACAAGTAAGAATCCTGTGCTCAGCAGATTTAATGAGTTTTAAATCCAAAGACTACTCTCAAACAGGTCTCCAAGTTAACATCACAGTGAAATGTTAGAGAAGAATGAAAATAGTTTTAAAATAAGTCATTCATCAGCTAAAATGCTAGAGTTTGAAATAATCTCTCTACGAACGGCCCTTCCAAGCTGCACAGCACAGAGCCCTCCTCACTGCCCTGCATGCTATGCCGGGTGGGGGAGATCCCGAGGACGCAGAGCCAAGTGCACAGGGCACCACGGCTCCACTCCTTCTTCTGCTCTCAGCGAGCTTCTGGGCAGTCGGGCCACCCGGGGGGCAGCAAGGACCAGGGCATCCGTGGCCACATGGCTGCTCCTTTCAGCTCTTGGCCTGCCCTTCTCCAAGGTAAAGCAAGTCTGTAGGTGTCCTACCACGCCAAGCATGTCTCCTCTGTGTCCTGGGTAGCAACCCCCAGGAGAGGGAGCTGTACCACAGCCTGCACGCCCTCGCCTGGACATGGAGGCCTGAGGACCCCCATGGGCCACCTTCCACTCATGCTGCGGGCCCACACCCATCGCTGCTCACAGGCTAGGAGCATGCTTTAGAATACTGGCAAAGCCTGGCAACTTCACACAGGCCAGAAGACCATAAGTGTGGGGCCAGCACAAGGCCAGACAGTGACACCCACATGACACGCAGGGCCTGGTGATAGGGATGCCTTGGCTGGTACATATGCCCCTCCCCTTCCCTGGACAAGGAAGACGAACACATGCATCCTGTTCTGTGCTGAGAACAGTCCACAGCCCACCACTGGCAGGTAAATTAGTGATACTTCTAATGTCCTAGGCAGAACAATCAAGACAGTGCCTAAGGGGACCAGAACCCCCTGCATTTACCAAAAGCCCTACAACATATGGGAGAGTCAGTATATTTCTTCAAAGGAGGAGAAATAACTTTAGGTGCCTGCAAGAGGCAGCCACAGCTCTTAAGAGCCAGCCTGGAAAGCCCTTCTAAAGCAATGGTGTTGCAGCTCCTCCAGCTAAAGACTGCCATGTCAAAGATAAACAGCAGTCTCCAGCAATTACTTTTGCTCCTCAATATCAAGACCCAAGGTAACAAAACTATTGACTGTGAAAGCATCCAGGGCCACAAACTTCACCCCGAGTCCACAGGGCTGCCCCTGGTGGCTGCAGAGAAGCCTGCCCAGCTGGGTAAGTGCAAAGCGCGGACTGTGGGAGAGGCAGTCTGCTCAGGGTTGGTGACACCTGCCAGGCCCTACAGGCCTTGCATATCACCTGTCTGCACTACCAGACAGGCACGCCAGGGTGCAGGGCATCCCGTGGGCATCAGACTCACCCGGTCCCCCGCTCAGTGCCCAAGGACATGGAGCTCACAGGTATAGGCAGCATCACCACTTGGTCTTGCCTCTTGCGAGACCTCCACCAGGCAGTGACCCTTTCATCTCACACACACCTGTGGACAAGGTTTTTGCTTGGGCAGCTAGATGCTAACTTACAGCCCTAAGTTCTCCTCTTTTCAGGGCGTTGCTGTGACAGACCCTCAGTGGATACCAGGCTCACCCACCACTACCAAGCTAAGGGACTGTGAGAATGGCAAACCCCTGCTGACAGCTGAGGGCCTTGCCCCACCTCCCTGCCCTTCCTCTGCTGTGTCCCACCATGAAGGAAATGGCCTGCTTTCTCAGCGAGCTTCCAGTGGGGCACAGCCCCAGTCCAAGCCTCCTGTGCTTCTGCATGAGCCAGTCAGACACCTCTAGGATGCATTCCCCTCCTCTCCTGTCAGAGCAGGCTGCCCCTGAGTGGAAAGGGGCAGGACCCCTTCCTGCACAGCACAGGCCCCTGCTCTAGGTTCCATAACCTCTGCTTCCTCATTGCACAACCTCACTTAGGCTTCTTGTTGGTTTTCAGGAACACCCTTTTAAAAAGCACTGGAGTTACTCTTTTTAGTCGGGAAATACAGATACAACAAGTACTGAGGAGAGTTCTGAGGGGCCACCGCACCCCTTGAGCCTCGTGCATGGAGAAGGCCAGCCAGCCTTTCGTTGGCTCAAAAGAAAGGCCCACCAGCAGGCAGCAGTCTGGAAGGGTCTTAAGGATGCCATGGCCCACAGCTCTCAGGCCTCTATCCCAACACACACTCACTGGACAACGGAGGGCTTGCACTTCTAGAACTGCTACAGCCTACATGTCCACACATTCCAACAAGTATGTACCTCTCAAATGCCTCAAGCTTATACAAGACAGCTACGCCCCTTGCCAGGCCAACAAGGTACATGAATGATGTTTGAAGAAAGTCAAATAGGACCATTAAAGTGATTTATGTGTGACATGAGCAAAACTCATCTCCAAAGGGACAGTTCAAACATCTGAAAGCTAAACATGTCTGGTTGCTACAATGTTTTAGGAAACAAAGGAATTCCATGCTAAATTCATAATGTAATGAATGTTTGTACTGCTGGCAAGAGAAGCTCTTGCTCCTTCTGAAGGCCTTGGGGGCAGTAACCCCTTTCCACTCTGCTCTTCAGAGGTCAAAAAGGAGCTGACCCTCAGGGACTTAGCTCCTCTACAAGGGAGCCACGTCTGGCCTTTGAAGCAGGACAACTGTACCACCTGTGAAGCTGCGCAGTCACTGAAGACCATCAGGTATCCCTGTCCCTGCCTACTTGACCACCTTCCAATGTCTTCAGTGACAAGTCTCCCTCCCCGGGCAGAGAGGAATACTGCCCATTCCCAGCCTTATCTCTTCACTTCCCCTGAGTTCAGAGGACGCTAGCGGCACTGTGCTGCGCTGTGGGCAGCACGCAAGTCATCCTGAGTCCTTGTCTCTTCATGCAGGGTGGCACTGCCTCCTGATGTGTCTGTACATGCTGGTCGCTGCCATCCCCAAATTCATCGCACCCTAACAAAACCCCTCATTTTGGCCCAGAGACTTTCAGGCTAGCATCTTTACTTCAGGAGATCATTTATTGAACCAGGACCATTTTTATATCATTTTTTTGTTATATTTTTAAATTTAGCAATCATTCTTGAGACTGTTAAATATAGCTGAGTTCCCTCATCTCCTTTAGAAGTATGATCTACTGTTCCCAGGCCATTGAGGGCCACCTGCCAGCCCACAGCCACAGTGTCCAGCTTGGGACTGTGGCACAAAAACCGATCCAGGGTTCCACCCCTACTGGGTTTACTTCATTTCCACATGCATGATGCAGTAAAGGTCACTTCTCATGCCAAAGTAAAAGTTGTACTTTTGGATAAAAATGGAATGATGGCAACTTTATTTTTTATTGTCATAACCACAACTGTCACAAAAGCAAACCACTGAGCCGTCGCAAGGCGCCGGGCGCCCTAAGTGCTTACATGCGGTCCATTACTTAATGGTTTGGAGCAGAAGGGCTAGTCGGAACTTTCATCACGGTCGGACACATCGGAGGTGTCTGCTGGCCATGGCCCGCGAGCAGCGCGAGCTCCGCTTCTCAAGCTGAGGCAAGTGGAGCCTTTCCTCCTGTGTGCTCAGGCAGACCGCGGGCTCGAGCCACGGCTGGCACCTGAGCGAGCCCATGACAGCACAGGGTGCTGATGCTCTACGAAAGCAAGTGATGAAGTGGCTGGCGTAAATAGCCTGGTCATGGTGTCTCCTAGACATCAGTCACCGAGTTGAGAGTTGAATGGTTCACAATGATACTGGAAATAGCGTATTTCCCTAAAAATGTACTGTGACTAGTGTTATAGTAAAACTGTTTAGTAAAAAAGGACAGACTCAAAACTCCTCTTGCCTTTTATGTTGGAAATTAGTTTAATATCTACAGTACTGAATACATTTAATTGGCAATGAGAATAGTTGATGAGGGCCCCTTCATGTGTGCTGTTTGTTGTTTGTTTCTCTAGGAACAGAAGCTGACACTTCTCCACAAAAATTGAGTAAGTTATGAACTAGAGGGGAAAACGACCTCTAACAGGGCGGCCCCTTCCGTGGGTGCCTGTCTCGGTGCTGGCAGCCCCCAGGGAGCAGCCTCCTTCTCAACTTGAAATCTACATTAATCACTGGAATATGAATGTGTTGCTATCATGAGATGAATGTGATTGATTAAATGACCTTGAGTAGGTATCTTACCTTGGTCTTAAAATTTGTTATCTGTTTTCTTCATTGTATGTGTTTATTAATACCAGTAAAAACAGATTATCACACATCTTCCATAAAATGATTGTGATAGAAATGTCACTTAGTGTGTACGATGATGCGCCACCTGCCGCAGACATCTTGGGACATTACATCATTCTAAGTGCAGTACAGGGCAGCTGGGTTCAAGTCCAACTTGACTGATGTGGGCTCCCATAAAAGCTGTTACCAGTGAAGGCAAAAAAATAAGAATTTGCTCTACTAAAGGAATAAGAAATGAAGTTACAAACACTTAAATCACATTAATTCCTTCACAGGGCTTTTGTCATGCAAGTGTGTAAGTTTAATCTAGTCTCTTGGTTAGGGTGATGTAGTACCATGTAATCAATTATTCCAGTATAAATTTATCACATAAACATTTTTTCAAGAATTTAAACCACAAGACCTAAAGTGTCTTGGAACACCAGCCCTATGGGAACCCCTATTTTTTTCAATCGAGTGTAAGGCAAAGAAAGCCATACATAAGCATGCACAGGCTGAGGGAGCCCAAGGAGGGCCAGTCCAGCCCTCAGACAGCCGCCGTCACACCTGAGCTGGCCCACGGGCTCCAGGTGTCGCAGGCAGCCGCACTCTGCCCATGTGCTCCAGGCACAGCGTGCCACGTTATGGACACTACCTGTGCTCCCGCAGAGCTGGTACATGGTATCCTACCTGTTCACCTACAATGTTGGACAGGAGAATTCTGTAAAAAGAAACTCTATAGAGATTTGATATAAGCCACACAAGAGCAGCCAAATGGAGAAGACCTGGTAATTTGAAAGATTTTATACAAGGACTATGCAATTGAAGGGTCTGTGTGCCACCTTCCAAATACAGGAAGGTGTAAGGATTTAATGTGCTGCATCCACAGTACAAACGCACTTGGCCACTACCACTCTGCAGTTCTCAGCAGTTGTAGCCAGAGTCAGCCTAATGACTGTGATACTCTAAGGCGTTCCACGTTCCCAGCTGAGCAGCAGTCATACTTGACCAACCCAGCTGCTGTCACCTCCGCCCTCACTGTGCTCGCCTTTCCTACACAGCCCTGATCATCGGGGACAACAGAAAAGACCATGACAGCCTTGGTGCTTTCTTTCTCTGGTGTCTTAGAAAATCTCAATCGGTGAGTGAACCAAGTATGATGCAAGGAAAACATCATTAAAAAAATATGTATAAACACTAACCTAGGTAAAAAGGTCTACAGAACTAAACTTTTATTTGTAATGTTCTTATTTGGAACTGCAGACAACTTCTCATTTAATCTTTAGAATACTAATCTGAGGGAAAATTGTTTAAAATTTGTCTTTTCATATTGCAGTAAGTGCCTGGATAAAAGCTCAGTGAAGAACTGCTTGTGTCGCAATGTGAGAAACACTGTATCATCTACACATGGCGAACTGCATGCCCACCCCAGCTCTCCTGTGTGACACTTCTGACCAAGACTGAGCTGGTGTGAGTTGGCAAGGAAATCCCGAGAGAGAATCAGGGTAGAATGACACCATTGCTGAGGTTCAGAGTGGGGACTGGAAAGTTCTCAGGGTGCCCCAGCAGGCTGGCCAGGTCTCAGACTCACTCACTGGCAGGCCCAGCCCCAAAGGGAGGAAAGAGCCAAGGCATCCCCACTAGGGACCCACTAGGGACCATGGCAAGTCCAGGCCAGAAGTGCTGCCCGCACCCAGAGAAGGAGGGGCCTGTCCATCCATCTCACTACCAGGCTCCAACGAAGCCCAAGATCACCACCACCTCACAGGTATCATGAAAACAAGGCTCGCGTCCACAAGGGAAAAACACAAAACCATGGGATCACGATAATAAGGAATTTGAACTGAAAGTAAGCTCTATGAAGGTAGCCACCAAAATCATGGTAACAAACTACCTTTGGGACACAAAGCACCACACTTGTCTTTGGTGGCTGACTGCTGATTTGGTAATGCCAGCTAGCCATTACACCACTTTTGTGGCAGCAACAGCCGCAAGAGAGCCACTGCTCTGCTACCCTGGACTCAGCAAGTCTGAAAGCAGGAGTCATGGTCCAATGGGAGCTGAAAGGGCCTCCATACTCCAGTGCTGAGTATACTAGAATTCAAAGGACCAAAGGCACAGAGCACTTTGGGGATCAAAAAACCTCTGGCTTCCCTCATGCCCCTGTGAGCCCACTTCCCGCATGGTTTAGGGTGCACAGTGAGCAGTGTCAGCCCAGGCGACACTACGCATTCTGTGAGAACCAGAGTGGACTGGTTCATGTGAGAGACCAGAGCAGGAGAGATTCAGAACACACTACAGCAAACGCACTGCAAGAACAATTAAACTGCATCAAGAGTGAAGGCCGTACATTTACATACACAGTCTGTGTGCTTACAGTCAAAATACCCAAGTAGACTAACAAGGTGCACATGTTCTTTTTCGTGAATTTTAGACAGTTAAGACCTAAGCTCACCTCCACCTATGGAGGACACCAATGTTATGCTAAGCCTAAGCTTCACTCACACTGAACTTGAGCCATCACAGCCCTTGTGGAGCACCACAGAATCATTATCATCATGGTTTTACCTCGTTCTCAGTTACAGATGCAGAAGGAGACGAACTTTTGCTAAACCCAAGAGTGGAGGACGCTGCTGCAGGAGCCCGATTTCGCTTCTTCAGGGGTTTGCACGCATCAGATAGATTTTTTGTCACTGTAAAATAATTTTGTTTTATAAAGTTGAAAATCCTAAACCCTCATATCTGTTTTTTAAAATCTTTACTTCTTTACTGCTTTAAAATTATCCCTCAAGTAAGTGAAACCCTACAGATCAATCTTCTGAGTTCTGAACGCAAATGAGAGCAAGCAGGCGGCACAGTGAGTGTCCACTCCCTCTGTGGGCTCACACCACCAGCCCAGGGCCAACGCGGCCCCCATGCCTGCTGCCACTTCCCCATCCTCCCACCTGGCTACGCTGAACCAAACACCCAGCATTTCACCCAGAAAGTTCAGTGTGTACCTCTAAAACAAAGTTTTAGAATAGCAATGCCAACTATTATACTTAAAAATAACAATCCCTTTGTATCATCAAATATCCAGTCAACTTTCACATTTCAGCACAGTACTTCATCCAAGGCCTGGGAAACAGCCTTACCAGGCTTCACACCAGCCCCTCTCCAGAGATTTCCTTCTAAGCCAGAGTTGGAGAGGGTCAGCCTTCTTTGATAAGCTATCCAGGTATCTCAACAAGATAAATAATGAAAAGTACAGTGGGTCTGAGTGCTCCTTTATTGTTTTGATAGTTATTTTCCATAAACATTTTAAGCTTATTTCTTTAAGCAATGAGTTGATACACTAAACATGACTTCTGCTCTTAGCTGATACACATCCAGACAGAGTAGACCAATTAATAGCAACAACTACTATCATCACTAAGAAATCTAAGCTTCTGGTTTGAATCACTTCTTTAGTAAACTTTCAAATTAAAAACCATAAAGCTTAAGAGTCAAAGCAACCTCAGTTAAACTGGAACGCTGAACAATGCACATGCATGTCTGTTTTCCGCTTACAGGAGTCCCCATTCCTGGCCTAGGCTCCAGCCTCCTGGCTGAGGCCTGGGCAGCCCTGCAGCATCCGGGTGGCCCTGAGCCCTCTGTCCCCCCCGTCAGCTCTCCCGGAGGAGGCCCCAAGGGCAGGAGCCTCCAGCACGGCGGCCCCAGGAGCCCCACCACATTACCTGCCTGGCTCTTGAGTGAGGAGGCCACCTCCATGGCCTTGTAGGAGCTTGTCCTGGCCATCTTGTCAGTGCTCGTCTCTCTCTGTCATTTAAACAAAGGAGAAAAAGGGGGGTCTACTGTGAATAGTTACTGGCTGGTGGAACACGCAGCGGCGCTCGGTCCTCAGGAAGCACACGCGCAACAGCACAGCCACACCCTGGGCCGAGCACCCCCACTCCAGCAGGGCCCCTCGCCAAGGTGCCACGGCCCTTCAAGCCCACGATGTGTCTGCTCCAGAGCAAACCACAAAGCAGGGGACACCTGGCCTTCTACACTGGTGCCCAGTCAAGGCAGCGTTACCCTGAAAAGTCAGCGCCAACTCTTTTAGTCTCTCTTGCTGCTCTGAGAACTCCCAGAGCTACTCACAAAGATCAACAATAAACTACTTCTCACAACTGAGAGCAGAAAACAAAGAAAAAAGAACAGAAGCAATCGTGAGCACCCACATGCTGGTATTCTGAATAACAGAGTTGAAAAGGCCCTGTCTCAGAAGCACAGGGACAGTGCTGCCGGGGGTCACAGACTGCTCTCCTGGAGGCAGGGTCCCTGCACCAGCCCAGACCAGGGCGACCCTCTGAGCAAGGCGAGCACTGTGCACAGCACTTGGGATGGAAGCACGCTGGAAGGGATAACTCCACAGGGAGCCCCGTGCAGCAGGCCTCGGAGCTCGCAAGGCCGGGCCTTTGGGAACACCGCTGCGTCCCTCGTGGCAGCTTCCCGAGCAGTATGCTGGTTAATGAAACCACGTGCGCCTGGCTACGCACGGAACGTGGGCTTTGGCGTTTCAGAGGCCCGGGTCACACACTTTTGGTGTGGCCTTACATGAGTATGTCAGAGCAACCGATTCCAGTGGGACTGCCATTAAGGGCTGTTTCATGGCTGGGGACCGGGAACAAGAAGTATGGAGCTCCTGGAACGGCGACCTGAGTGACTCAACGACTGTCACCTCACTCAACGCCAGGTCTCTGGACACTAGACTACATCTCCAGGGGCCTTGGAGAGTGCAGCAAAGCCTGCCTGCTCGCCTCAACTGCAAATGCAGCCTTGAAGACTTCAGACAGATTGTGTGGTACACAAAGGTGCACTTCAGCAACATGTAACACTTATTTTCCATTCTTCAAAACAAATAGCAAAAAACGTAAATTGATTTCCATTGGTAAAGGACAGCAGCAAGCTTTACTCAACACCATAAATATGCAACTAATCTGTGTGAACTATTCCTGCAAATTCAAATATAAAGTATAAAGCCTTGGGCCGGAAATTCAGTGGACACTTGTCCAGCATCCTTAAGGTCTTGGTTTCTATCCCCATCACCACCCCTAAAAGGAAAGAGAAAAACTAAAAAGCCCACCGAAACTCCCATTCATGACAAGGGAACTGCACCCCAAGAACAGTGCTCATAAAGGGCTTGGTCTGCAGCGTGGTGGCTGCACTCCACATTAGTCAGAACCACCGCTTTTCCACAGCCTAGATGAGGGTGGCTTCACTGCTAAGACACTAGGCGATGTGTAATAGAGGGATTGTGCTTGGAGTGCCTGCCATCCTGGTCTTCTAAATATGTACTTCTTGTCATGACATACCAATTATTACCATACTGTCTCTCAAGTAAAGGGGTTTTTGGGGTTTTTTTTAAGGGTAATAAATAAAAATAAAAAAAAAGTCACAAGAATAAGAAAAAAAAAACCCTCACAGGTCTGTCCTGTTATAATTCTATATATGGTTAGATTTCTAAATTTCTTTGTAAAAATATGTAAATGCTTATTTCTAGTTTTTTAAAATTATTTTTCCTTCATATTCTATAACGACTTAAAGTTCAACATATCAATATGTGGTGGAAAATACCTGTTCCATGATATGCCAAAGATGTTTGATAGACAGACAGGGTAAACCAAACTGCATATATTGCAGGTTAATAATAAGCTTCTCTTCTGGAGGGTTAAAAACCTAAGTTAGGAAATCAAAATTGGAGAAAAGGGCTGCAAGGTCAGCCAACATTTTGGCCCTAGCCTTTCAAGGTCAGTGAAGACTTGGGACACAGGAGGACCTGTACTGTAACAACATGTAACTCAGGGGCCGGGGAGATGGCTCAGTAGGATAAGCGTTTGACTGGCAAACTCAAGGATCTGAGTTCAATCCCTGGTTCCGCAAAAAAAAAAAAAAAAAAAAAAAAAAGATGCAAACATGTAACTCAGGTTGTGCTATAAATTTTCTGATCAAGATTATGGAGCCACAGAGGAATGTGATCGATGATGTATAGTGTACCTAAGGAGAGTCACATGGAGAGAAAAAACATTCTCTCAGGCTTTCACAAAGAGCAAACTGGTCAAGCAATGGCCATGACTCCTCCTCATAGCTGACACTGACAACGGATTTACAAAGTGCGGTACAGGGCTACAGGATAAATCTTGAGGGTGCTTGATACAGATATAAAAGTTACATTCTTGTTATATAGGTCTTGCTTTATCTTGGTCTTAACCATCCAGCAGAAAGGTATTAAAAATGAGGTATATGAAGTAAATCCATATTAACACCATGAGCTGTAAAAGGCTCAAGTCAACAACTTCTGAGGATAACCCACTAATATTATAGACTGCTAGACAGTGTTGGATTGTTTAGCTGAATTCAAACACCTAGAGTATTTAGATGCCAATAGAATATTCACCTGACAGGATTAAACAAAAAAAAAAGGGGATACAAAGGAAAGATTATTTTTTATTTATATATACAAAATAGAATAGATACACAGCTACTTTCGCTTATTTCAATGAGAAGAAACAGGTGTACTAATAGTGTTTGGACAGGATATCCTGTCTGCTTCTTGTACTATGGATAACCACTAAGAAGATAACAATGTACTGATTATCGAAACTGTCCTATTAATCAGCTTTGAAAATGTCTCATTCATATTTGTTTCTCGATAAAATTAAAATTTAAAAAAAAAAAGGACCACCGCTTTTCCACAGCCTAGATGGGGGTTGGCTTCACCGCCAAGACACCAGGCACACTCTGTACCCTGACAAGACTGGACACAGGCAGGAGGCTGAGCTGCCGGGCCCCTCTGCCACCATCCTGCTGTAAAGCAGGTTCCCAGTCAGCCAACAATACCATGAATTATCAACAACACGAAATCTTTTAAATGTCTCTATGATGTATTTTCTGGGTTTTTTGGGTGGAACCAGGGATTGAACTCAGGCCCTTGCGCTTGCTCTCCTGAGCTATCTCCCCGGTCCCTTCTATGATGGATTTTAACTGGAGTATATATCTCTATGGACTGCCATGTCAACTAACTATGTTCTTATGATTAGTAACAGGGGTGATATTCTTTTGCCCATTGAGCCCAGGGCCGCACGCCTGTTAGACAAGGGCTCAACCACTGAGCTACACCCAGCACAAGAGTCACTGCTAATGTACAGTTTTATCCAATTTAAAGACATAAAGTGTTTGGATACCACTTGCTCAGCCAGCCAAGCACTGGAGTTACACACACAGCCTTCCTTTCAGTACCTCCCTGTGCTGAGCCTGCCCCCAAGCGCAACCTGAGAACCACAGCACACATGTTCTCCAGGGCCAGACACACTGGAACATAATTACCTTCCGAAGACTGTGCTTGTCAGTCCTGAGTCTCTTCCTGGGTGCATCCTCGATGTCCACATCTTCTGGAAGGTCCTCCGTCCTCTTTGTGTGATGTCTTTTTTTCCCATTTACATTACCTTGGAACGGGGTTTGGAGAAATGCACATGAAAACCACTCAACATCCCAAAAGAACGAGACTTCAGCCAGAGCATTCAGCTGCAGCAGGCTGCAGCGTGATTTCACAGCCATGCTAACTGGGATCGACATTTTACACCACAAGAATTGGGCCTGAAAATACTTTACCTAGAAATTTTACCAGTGTTTGTTATCATTTCAATGCAGCATGCCATTCAACCTAAATATAACTCAGTATTTTTAAACATCTTTTACTGAGACTTTAAAGATTGGTAGATTTAAAGAGAACATAAAGTGCAGCCTGCTTCTAAACATACACTCCCGGGCTGGTGAGATGGCTCAGTGGTCTAAAGCACCTACCTAGAACAAGCTTAGCAAAGCACAGGGACCACGCACGGTTCAATCCCCCAGCACCACATGCCAGCCAGCCCTGCCCCCTGGTGGGCTGAGCTGGCCACACACACACTAAATAAATAAATAAATAAATAAAATACATTAAAAAATTTAAAAAAATAAAAAAAATAAACATACACTCCCCTAAAGAGACATTCTATTTTACTTGAGGGCCGTAAAGATAGCTCAGCGGTCTACGTGCCTGCCTAGGCAAGTGTAAGGACCTGGGTTCAATCCCTGGTGCTGCACGCCATGCCAGTCCCACCCCTGGGCACACTGAACCAGTCATCAAAACCAGGTGTGGCACACGCCTGCAGTTCCAGCACTGGGAAGGCTGAGACAGGAGGATCACTATGAGTCTGAGCTATGTAGGGAGACCCTGTATCATTCATATAAATATATAAATATAAATATATATATATATATACACATATATATATAATTTTATTTTTAAACGTATTTGATACAGGGTCTCAGACAGACTTGTAGTGACCCTCCTGTCCCAGCCTCCCTAACACTGGGATTACAGGTATGCACCACTATGCCTGGTCTCGGGGATCACACTCAGGTCCTTGCATTTGTCAGGTGGACACTTAGACCACCAAGCTATCTCCCCAGCCATAAAGAGCAATTCTATTTTATTTTACTTTTTCTGGTTACAGTATTCTTTTATCTTTTTTAAAAATAATTTTATTGAGAAACATATAGCAATGAGACAGTTTCAAAACTGATTACTAGCACAGTTTCAAAAACTTATACATTGCATACTGTTGTCTTAGTGGTTATTCATTGTACAAGATGCAGACATGATATCCTGTCCATAAACACTATTAGATCAAATCTCTCTATTCACTGAATTAAGAGAATACAGCTGTACATCTATTCTAACTATTTTGAATATACAGATACAAAATGGTCATTCATTTGTATCCCACTTTTTTGGTTAGTTTTGTCAGAGAAGGGCATTCCACTGTCATTTAAATATTGTAGGTGCGTCGATTCAGCAAAATATTCCAATACAGTCCAGTAGTCCATAATAGTAGTGGGTTTTCCGTAAGACTGGCAATGTCAGAAGTTGTTGACTTGAGCCTTTTACTGCTCAGCATATTAATATGGCTTTACTTTTTATACTTCGTTTTTATACTTTTCTGCTGGACGGTTAAGACCAAGATACAAAGAGAAGAAAGACGTGTACTAACAATGTTTGGACAGAACATCCTGTCTGCTTCTTGTACTATGGACAACCACTAAGAAGATAATAATGTACAATGTATTGATTACCAAAACTGTCCTATCAATCAGCTGTGAAACTGTCACATTCATATTTCTCAATAAAAAAATTTTTTAAAAAAGACCAAGATAAAGCAAGACCTATATAATGAGAAATATAACTTTTGTATCTGATGAGGTCAGTCAAATCCCCTCAAGATTTATCCTGAGGGGCCGGGGAGATGGCTCAGTAGAATAAGCACTTCCCTGGCAAGTGCAAGGGCCTGAGTTCAATCCCTGGTTCAGCCAAAAAAAAAAAAAAAAAAAAAAAAAAGATTTATCCTGAAACCCTGTACCGCAGTTTGTAGATCCTTTGTCAGCATCAGCCATGTGGATGAGTCACAGCCATTGCTTGACCAATTTGCTCTCTGTGCAAGCCTGAGAGAATGTTTTCTCCCCATGTAACTCTCCTTAGGCACACTCTACATCATCCATCACTTTAAAGAGCCACTTAAAACAGCAACACCACATCCGGGTCTGCCAACTATAGGCTCTTCCACACATCTGCTTTACTGAGCCACATCCTAGGTCCCTAAGAAGACCCCACATGTGACAAGGTATCCAAATGGAGCCAACCTAGGGAGATAAGCTGTAGAGTTAGAGAAAGGGCTGCTTTGAATATGCCAAAGTGCATAGAAGTGGAGATCCAAAATTTTCATTTGTACAAGTGCTTTTCAGAAGTTCAGGGTTTCTTATTAACAGACTTCCCATCAAGTGCCTGTGGGGACACAACACACTTGCATACGTGTGCGCAGCCTGTGTGTCCAGCAGCCACAGGAAGAGACCCACACAGCCACCCTGGGGCTCACTGCTGGAAAAGCCTGGCCGTCAGCCTCCACCAGGCTCCACTCCTAGTTACCCACTGCAAGCAGTTTCCAAGGCCACATCAGGAAGAGGCCTACAGAGCAGAGGAAAGCATGCTTGAAGCGCAGGCAGCACAGCCAGCCTAACAGACTCTCCTTGTCCATGTGCCTTCAGCAGCCCTGCCTATAATGTGACAGGCTCCAGACACTGCAACATCACTCTGCCACCAGGCTTCCCATGGTAAGGTGAGCTCTTGGTCCCTTCCCCAGGCAGTGCCTGAGCACTACCCCTGGTCCTCCAGAGGGGCTGCAGCCCAACCTTACAGAAGAACCACGGCCTCTGCTGGAAATCCTGCACATTCAGCAGCCAGACAGGTGACACACAGAAAAGGCACAACAAGCCTGGAAGTCACTGGACTTGCCTGGATGTCAGGGCTTGAAGCCATCCAAGAACAGCATGCACGTGACCCACGGTGGGGACCCACAATCCCTCCCCCTGCCTACTGCATGCTCAGGGACAACCCAACAGCAAAGCTTGACATACACGGCTCAGCCCATGCTTGCTCAAGAATAAGCTGACCCAGGCTGTGGGAGCCTCACTCCTTTTTAAACCAGCTACTCTGGAAAGGAAGCACTTCTCTCAAAGTATACAGAGGATGCAGAGTGAGGTGAATCTGCCTTCTCAAGAACATCCACAAACCCTAATGCCCTTGATATTCTCTAACACCTGTAAGGAACACGGACAAAACTGCACAGAATTCAAGGTGAATGTAATTAGCAGCTGTGGAGACCGAGGAAGCGCTGGTGAGGCACTGCCATGCACAGGGGGCCACAGTCCAGCGCACAGCGCAGCTCCTAGAGCAGCTTGGACCTGGCCTGTTAGGTGGGTCTGCAACACACAGTCCTTGACCTCTCTAGGACCCCTCAGTGATGAGCCTGAGCGGTGCGGATGATCCTGTATGGTAATTAACGCCTCAAATACCTCACATTTACTTTCGTATGGAAAGGGCAACTTCCACTCCCATGGGCTTGGGTGCTGCGGCACACACTTCCATTTGTGTGCCGAGTCCACTGACAGGGCTCAGCAGCACAACGCCTGCCTGGCAAGCATGAGGTCCTGAGTTCGATTTCCCATACCAAAAAAAAAAAAAAAGTTTTTCTCAGGGGCCAGAGAGATGGCTCAGTGGAATAAGCGCTTCCCTGGCAAGTGCAAGGGCCTGAGTTCAATCCCTGGTTCTGCAAAAAAAAAAGTTTTTCTCTGTCCACTGTATGCCAAAACACGGGCAGGTCATATACCTGACTACCACAACTGCTCTTCTCCACATCTTATTGTCTAAGTCTCCCTTGCTTTGCCTAAAAGTAAAGAAGTACTTTTCTTGTTTTAAAACTGACAGCCCAGGAATAATCAAAGGACACCCCAAGTTTAAAGTCAATTTGGTAGGGGCTGGTGAGATGGCTCAGTGGTCTAAAGCACCTACTTGGAACAAGCTTGGCAAAGCACAGGGACCGCGGTTCGATTCCCCAGCACCACATGCCAGCCAGCCCCGCCCCCTGGTGGGCTGAGCTGGCCACACACACACACACACACACACACAAATAAATAAATGTTAAAAAAAAAAAAAAAATTAAAGTCAATTTGGTCACCTCACCTGTAGGCTCCCAGGCAAATGGGCCAGGATGTCCACTTCAGGCCCAGAGCCCAGTCACACAGGCAAGCCCCAGCAAGAGACAGGGCCACAAGCTGCAGGTCGCCCCAGCATGGCCAAGCCTAGAGGCTCAGAAACTGCTTGTCTGCATTCCTTCTCCCGCCCTCTCCTTCACAACCCTCTTGGCTACAGCAGCCATTAGGCCTGCCCGATGCGAAGGAAGACCAGAGGGTCGGGACAGAGCAGGTTGGTGACAAGGGAGCAGCACCAACAACTGGGGCCATGTGCACTCTGGCTACTGGCCACCGGCCGTGCCTCCACCAGCCCCGACGTAGAGCTCAGCTTGCTCCCTCCACATGTCACACCTGACACAGGGCACAGCACAGCTGTATGCATACCAGAATCTTCTTCATATGGGGCTGAGGTCACAAGGGCAAACTTGGTGTTATAGCGAGCTTTCTGCTTTTCACTGAGCATGTTCCACTGGGATCCCAGCAACTCTTCAATCTCCTCGCCTGATGCATCAGGGTGCTCAGCAATGACCTGAGAACACAGTTCAGGGAACAATAAGAGCCCTAAGAGACAGCTCATCTGTGTGCTGCACAAAATCACATGCATGGCCACTGAGAGCTCAGTGTGTCATGTTTACCGTCCCATCGTGGAGCAAAAAGAGTTTCCAATTAAAACAGCTCTTATCTGATGCCGTGGTTCATTGAAAACTGAGGTGAAAATACCAGTAAATGTAAACAAAAACCTATACTTTTTCTTGGGGCTGGAAATAGCTTGGCAGTCTAAGCACCTGCCTGGCAAGTGCAAGGTCCCAAGTTTGATCCCTGGTACTGCATGCTATGCCAGCCCCAGTACCCTAGGTGTGCCATGCTGGCCCAAAAACCAGCCATGGTGGTGCACACCTGTAATCCTAGTGCTGGGGAAGCTAAGACAGGAAGATCACTGTGAGTCCGAGCTGTGTATCGAGACCCTGTATCAATAAAAAATAAACCTATTCGTTTCCAAAATCACTTGAATCATCTGTAAGTCAGTTTTCTAGGCATCCTTGAAAACTCAGCCACACAGCAAGCCCCACAGAATGAGCAAGGATTTGGCCTGGCTCCCTCAACGTCCACTGCACTCTGAGCCCTGGACAGGTGCTGAAGGTGGCTTACCCACGTGCACCATGCACTGCCACGATGGGCCCTCCAGCCACTGGGCATCGGCACCCAAGGAGCACACTAGAAATGTGGGCCCCACCTCCTCCCACCAGGAATCTGCTTTTTCACAAGGCCTCCAGCAAGACCATTTCCACCATGACACACAGGAAGTGGCCCTCAACTTAGCAACAGATGGAAATAACCTAGGGAATGTAAAGCCTACTGTGGCAGGGACTGCCCAAAACTGGTGGTCTGACACGTGCATCCCAAAGGCTTCCCATGGGCTTCTGGCATGCCCTTGCTTAGGTGGCACACAGACCACTGTGCCCTTGAGTTAGACAGGCACTGACAGGGGCACTGCACAAGGGTCCCTCTGACACACCCATTTAGGATGACACATAAGTTAAGAACTATTTTTGTGCTTTTCAAATGCTGAAAAAAAGTTATTTTATCACATGGAAAAAATAATAGTAATTCAAAGCTCTGCCATTCACAAGATTTAGAGAACTGCCCCAAGCTTGTGCTGTGGCTGTGCATGCCCCAATGTCAGGACCGAGCCTCACTGCCTGCAGAGCCTGCAAGCACTAACCAGGGTGCTCTCAGAACTGCACTGGTTCCAGGCCGGCTCGTCCACTGAGTTTTGTGAACCTGACTGGGTGAAGGCACCATCTCTCCTCCGCCTTGTGAGATGAGGGAGCACGCTGTCAGACATCAGCGGGTTGGTGCACAGCAGCTACCACCATGGCCTGGACCTTCCACCTGCCCAGCCAACATAGCTGCCATTATCTTTAGTCCCGAGCCTTTGGTCACTGGGAGTTGGTCACATGATCATCCTCTGCCCTGGTGCCCCTGTATGGACAATAAACACTCCCACCCCATCTACCTCTCCAGATCAAAGTGAGAGGCAGCCTGCAGCCCACCCCACCTGCACACTGTGACCTCCCAGCTTCTATGGCTTTAAGAAGAGTCCAACCCAACACATCCTGCCTCTTCTCCTCAGGCTCTGCTGCTACCATGCCCTGCCCTGCTGTTCCCAGCCTCACACCCCGCCCTCAGCCACCCAGCTCTGTGTCCTCTACCTGCTACCTCACCCTGCCCAATTCCTCAGGGCCCTCTGGCCTCAGCCCCACAGGGCACACTCATTTGTTGACCTGTGCTTCCTGGGTCCCAACCTCTGGCCCTAGAACCCCATCCTCACTACTGCTCCAGTGTCCTTGGGCAGAATAAGCAGGAACAGATATTCCCACGCTCCTCACAGGCACGCTTGCTCAGCTCCTGGCTCCTGCCTCCTGCTAAGCACGCTGGCCCCACTCCTGACTTCAGAACTTCAGATTAGAGTCTCAACAACCACTTTCCTGGCTCTCAATCCTGTCCATCCAGGCTGGGGAGATAGCTCAGTGGAATAAGCACTTGCCTGGCAAGCTCAAGGACCTGAGTTCAATCCCCAGTTCCACCAAAAAAAAAAAAAAAAAAAAAAAAATCCTGTCCATCCACCTCATGACACTCCCAACCGAAAAGGTCTCTTCCTAGAACCAGCCATCCCATCGCAGCTCGCCCTTCCTGGTGTGACTTCTCCTTGCGGCCCCAGCCCCAGGGCTCATGACAACTGCCACAGTCCTGCACAACCAGCACTAGTTTTCTCCTTTTCTCCCACTCACGTGAGAGCCCTGTCTGAGTGGTGGCAGCCTCCACAGGCCTCAGCTCACTTCTGCACAGGGTGGGCTGCAGGCAGAGAGCAGCGCTACCCTGCGCCGGCTGCTTGCCATCCCTCCCCGTCTCATCTCTGACCCGCGTGCTGAGGCCAGCAGGGAAAGGACCTTGGTAATGCCGTGACCACTTGTGCCAGTCCGCATAATAAAGCAGCATCCAGGTGTCCTCTGACCTACAATCTCTCTACCAAGGGTGGAGTGAAAGCAAAGTGCACTCAGTAGAAACCACACTCCCGATCTGGAATTCTAACTGCCTCCGGGTCCCCTCAGGCTGTGCTGGGTAGTACGGTACACACAGCTCCAGGCAGCTCCACAGCCCAGAGAACTTGACCCTCAGAATCTCCTGCAAGGCTGAGCTGTGTGGCCTTTGGCAGTGTGGGTGGATTCATGCATTTTTTCACTTACAGTATTTTTAATTCACAGAGCATTTACCAAGACATGCCCATGGTGCACTGAGGGGCGTCTGTATGTAGCACAATGCTCACACACACGTGGCACACCCAGGGCCTGCTTCCTGCTACATCGCCTCACTAGGGAAGGGGGGTGACTTTAAACTCACGAGCTCAGCAGAGACAGCTATAAACAGGTATAAATCATGCACACCCACCTGAGAAGGCCATGATAGCTTTCAGGCAGATTCTGCACAATAACATTTTGGCAAGACACCTAACCCACAGTAAGCATATCACCATGGCTACTTCCTAATGTCTAGTAAACTATTTCAAGCAAACCAAAAAAAAATACGGAAAACAATGACCCACAGGTCACTGCCGTGCTGTCATCCAAGGCTGCCACCCCTCCTAGGTTGCCCTCCATAGCCTTCACACCTGCTGCACTTTCCTTTCACCTAGCTTTTGGACTTCAGAGGATGCCTGCTGCCATGGCCAGCAGCCATCTTCTAAGACAGGCCGTGAGCCACCTACTGACCCTCATGCCCCGAGCTGATCTGGCCTGGATTTGCACTTGGCGTCACAGCGACTATGGTGGTGCACAATCTCCAGGTCCAGGGTGAGAACTACTGCCTGGCCCTTTCTTGGATCCCTGCTCTGGGAGAGCCAGGCCCCTGATCCCTGTGGAAGGCCATGTGCTGAGGAACCAGATCCTCCTGCCAGCACCCAACTGAGGACCTGGAAGGACCCTGGGACACAGCCAGCCTCGCAGGATGCAGCCCCCGTTGATCCTAACTGCACCCGTGGGAGACACTGTGGCCTCACTGCCCACCGAGCTTTGCCAACCTCTTCCTCACCCACAGACCCAAGACGGTAAGTGCTGCTGCTGCTGTACCCCAAGCCACTGTGTCTGGTGGTAACTTGCTATGCACAACCAGTAACTCAAAGACACATACAAAGGACTTGAGATAAAACACCCACCCAACTCAAAAGAAGTTTTCATTTTCAACATAAAATCAGGACTAGAGAAGGTGAAAAAGACTTTACAACTTAGAAACTAAAGTCAAAATCTGCTAATAAAACTGCTGCTAACACACTCTAGCCCAGTAATGGTGAACCTTTTCAAGCTTTCAACAACAAGCAGCTGGCTGTGCTGTGTACCAGATTTCCCACCACCGACCTAGGCTTTGCATGTACACCCACGGGACTAAGGACTGAATCCAAGCTGTTGCACTGAGCTATGCCCCCAAGTCCCACTAAGGCAGTTACCCAGGCGGGGCTCAAGTTTGCAGTCCTCCTCCCTCAGCTGCCCAGAATGCTGCCATTATAGGCCTTTGCTGCCGCAGCTGCTGCCTCAAGCTTTCTCATGGACAAAGACTCCCAGGGAGAAACTGGAGGAGATGGCCCACCCAGCGGAAGAGCCACTGCGCGAAGTTCAGGACCTTCCTCCTTGCAAGAAGGAAGCTGGAAATGGACCCCCACCACGAAACCACCCTTGCAGGCCTGAGCCAAGCCCTACAGACTGCTGTCTCACAATTTCCTACAACACACACAACTACTCAGCTCCGCAGCTCTGTCAAATGCCTGCTGGTCCTACACTGTGCCACATCAACTGCCACAAAACAGGTGCTGGCCAAACCTCCAGTGGCAAGGTTTGAAAAAGTAAGTGCTATTTGTCACTGGTACCTTAATCACCCCATGAAGTTGAGAAACCTCTAAACAGAAAATTCCCAAAAAAGTGAAATTAAACACTATAATAAAAACACGTTTGTGCTAGACTACAACCCACTCACTTCAAGTCAAAGTGAACTAAAATGGTAGCTTAGCTCTTTACCACAGAAATGAGCCTCTACTATACCAAACAGATCATGCAGTAAAATGACTTTTTAAAAATTGTTTATTTACTTGTATTTTAGGGAAGGGTCTACATGGTATTCAGAGTCTCACTACTAGATCGGACTTGTGGTGATTCTCCTGCTTCTACAGCTTCCCAAGTTCTGGGATTATAGGCCTGCACCACCACCCGCAGTCTCAATTGCTGTTTCAGTGTGCCACGGAGGCAGGGCCAGCATGGCAGGCTCGGGGATTGAACCCCTGCCCCCCTGTGCCTGCTTGTCAGCACTTTAATCTGCTGAGCTATTTGCCCACCCACAGTAAAATTACTTAAATGCTTTAATCCTAGGCATAGGGGCACACACCTGCAATCCCAGCACTCAGGAGGCTGAGGCAGAAGGATGGCAACAACTCAGAGGCCAGCCTAGGCTACACTGTGCGTTTAAGGGCAGCCTGAACTGCACAGTGAGACCCTGGCTCCAAATAAATAAGCACATAGGTACATGCACACATGCCTGCTTTAATCACTGACATACTAGTTCCTTTTAGATCTCACGGCACAAGCTTAGGAATGAGTGTGCCCACATCCGACCACTCCCCAGAGCTGGATATCAAGACCGTAGAGCTCCCAGCGGGGCAGTTCAGCACACCTTTTCCTTTTTTCTTTTTTAATGTATTTAGTACAGGGTCTCACTACGCAGCTTGGACTCATCGTGATCCTCCTGTTTCAGCCTCTCCAGCACAGGGATTACAGGCATGAGCCACCATGCCCAGTCTGGGTGGCCAGCTCAGCACACCCAGGGGTGGGGCCAGCATGGCATGTGGTGCTGGGGATCAAGCCCCGGTCCATGCACTTGCCTAAGCAGGCTGAGCTATCTCGCTGGCCCTGCACCACCTCTTCCTGGGAGATGCTGGGCAGCAAGCCAGAGACAAGGTTAAGTGTCCCCAGGGATCCAGCTGGCTGCTCCCCAACGGTGGGTGTCAGATCCAAACCTCAGTGAGGCTCACTGCTAAGAAACAGATTTTCTGCACCAACGACTATTCCTCCAGTTTAGAAGCTGTGGCAGCAAGCACTCCAGCACCCACCAGAGTACTGACCTCATCCCGGTGCTTCTGACAGAAGACCAAAAACTGAGACGCCGCATCTCCCTTCCTGCTCCGTGGAGTGGAGGCTGCAGGCTTCTTCCTCCCAGGGGGTGACCCGACGCCCCTTTTAGGCCCAGCCTCTGTGGATTTCTGCGGAGTGCTCCTTCCTGCACCAGCATCGCCCTCCTGCTTCTCCACAGGGCCAGCCTGCTTGACTCTCCGCCTCCTCTTCACAGGAACACCCTCTTCCCCCGAGGCCCAAGGGGCTGCAGCGGCTGCGCCCCCGCCCTGGGTGGGCTCTGCTATCTCTCCAGAGCCCTCGGCAGCAGTACTGGCCTCCTTGGCCACCTGGGGGTTGAGGTGCAGCTGGTCTCCCACGTAAAGGAACGTGAACTTGGCTTTCCGCTCTTCCACGGACATGCCAGCAGCTTCCTCGGCCTGAATGATGCCCATGTCCCACTGGGCCCTCAGTTTCCCGGAAATAGGTTTCAACAGCTGTGAAGACAAATGTAGTATACTGGGAGTTTCATTACACGAACAGAAGACTTCACTCACTTCAAAGGACATTTCTGTAGACACACATAAATTCAGAGATCAAAAGCTACTGAGAGCAATGAACTTAGTAAGGTTTAGGCAGAATTCAGCCAGCAACTACTGCTTCTTTAAACTGGAATTCCCATTACATTAACTAATGGAATCTGATATATTAAAGAAGGAGATAAAAATTATAAAATACATTATTTCTAAGAGTCCTCCAGTGAATAAAAGGAGAGTAAGTTGTCTCTAAAGACACTTCCCGTATTTTATAGCATACTTCGGAAGAAGAAAACAATGACAGACGCAATAAGCCATTTCAAACAGCTACTAGTTTAAAATAAGATACATTACATAAATAATGGAGATTAGCATCTTGGCCCACGAGCCCACCTTGACCTTCTCGGCCTTTGTGGGCGCCTGCCTGGCACTTTCCTGGCATAACTTCTCGAACTGTCCTTCTCCTTCGAACGCCACGAGGCTCTTCTCGAATATCCACGCTCTCTCGGGGGCGTCACCAAAGAACTGCACGTGATACTGGCGCGCGCTCTTTTTCTGACCTGATTTTTAAAATAAAAGGTTAGAACATCAACATTAGAATTTGGGGGACATTAGAGTAAGCATATTGTTGTTCTGACACTGTCTTACTTGGAGTTGTGTGAGTTTATTAACCTCACAATGCTCCATGCTCCATCCCAAGAAGAAAACTCACTGAGAGAAAGAGAAGTGAAGTGTGACGGCCCACCCCCGTCATCCTAGCCCCAGGAGGCTGAGGCAGGAAGATCTCTGTGAGGTTAAGGCCTACTGTGTTGCACAGTGAGGTCCAGGCAGCCTGGAATACACAGTGAGCCCATTTCAACCCCCACCCCAATTTAAGTTTAAAAGGGCAGGGGATGTAGCTGAGTGTGAAGAGCCTATTAGATGGGGGAGAGGAAGAAGGAGATGGGACCGGCAAAGCTCCCTAGGAGGAGATGACTGGGAGGTCCCTTCATCTCCTCCCTCTCCAACCTTTGGAGGCGACGCTAGCCCAGTGCATGAAGGTCAGCAGGAGCAAGCGCTACCCAGCCGGGAGGGCACAGCCAGGACCACAGCACCACCTCCCCTCCAGGTGGGCAGAGGGCCCTCAAACCCCAGAAGATGCAACCCAGGGGCATGAGAGCCGGCCTCAAGCCCGCAAGGAAGCACCCCCCCAAGGAACTCCAGCAGAAACCTCACAACAGCTCAGGAGACCCCTGAGGGGCAAGCTGCCAGGCCAGAGCCCCCACAGGCTCTGTACCCCGCAGCCGGCCTGACCAACGAGCCAGACACACAGAAAATCCAGTGCAGCCCTGTAGGCACTGGTAGAGCACAAGGAAGGAGACACCCGACAGGAGCACACACTGACTGCTCCGGAGAGAGAGCACAGAAAGGAAAACAAGCAGTCAGCTTTTTTTTTTTTTTCTTTTTCTGGTACTAGGGATCGAACTCAGGACCTTACGCTTGCCAGGCAGGTGCTTATGACCACTAAGCTATCTCCCTGGCCCTGGACTTTTAAAATACAACTGGGAAAATAAAATTCATCAAGAAAACTTGGAAGTCTGGGCATGGTGCTATGATCTTCGCACTCTTGAGAGGCTGAGGCAAAAAGGTCACAAGTCCAACCCCAGCCTGAACAACTCAGTGAGACCCTGTCTCAAAAAACAAAAAGGAGGGCCAGCAAGATAGCTCAGCAGACCAAGTGCCCGCTTAGCAAGCACAAGGACAGGGGTTCAACCCCTGGCACCACATGAAGCACTGGCTGACCCCAGGCATGCGGAACCACCACCAAGACCCAGAGTGGTGGTACGTGCCTATAATCCCAGCGCTGGGGAAGCTGAAAGCAGGAAGATCACTACCAGTCTAAACTGGGTAATAAGACCCTGTACCACATACATTTAAAAAAAAAAAAAAAAGATTTCGGGGTGTATCTCAGTGTACAGGCCCTGAGTTCAATCCTCAGTACTGCCAAAAAAAATTAAAA